CCCAAAGCACTCCTTCGGGATGACGACAAAGAGAAGTATTAGTCAAAGCAGGAACATCGATCATGTTCATCTGCATAAAGAGCAAGCAGCTAGAAATCAAATAATGAAAGAGTATAACGATATAGTCAAATATTTCATAATACATAGATAAGACATCTACTTGAATTACTTACATCACCAAAACGTGCAGAGTCTGACAAGGCAATATATTTACATGTAGACTTTATAAGCAAATATAAGGATCCACAATATGCAAAAAATATATGTCTTAGCATTAAATTCCAATACATTTTTGTGTTCGTTTTGGTGATGTAAACAAGCAGCGCAGACATGTCGGCTTCCTCGTCACTGACAACTGTAAACCCAACTCTATTATGCAGACAAATAATTCGACATGTGGAGTTGTCCAGAGAATCCTCTTCAATAAGCTGCCTGCCTGCCTGCCTGCCTGCCTGCCTGCCTGTAGTATACTTGGTATGCAAGTATGTTATCCTTAGCAAGTACTGTTAAGAAAGGGGAAGAGAGGTTAAGTGAGAGGCTTAGAGGGATCACACAAAGAAGGGGGATAGTGGACTCGGCTTGCTCTCTCGCAACTTGCTTCATTGTCTGTTGATTAGTTAGTCTATATATACTATGTAGGTATGTCTCAGATGTAGAATGTATGATGGAAGGTATTCCATCATCATTTGTCATTGCTTGTAATGTAGTTTATATCATCTGAGACATACTCTTGTGTAGTCTCATCTTAACACTCCCCTTCAAACTCTTACTAGGTCTAGTAGACTTGTAAGATGTTTGCTTACAGTATGTATAGATAGTTTAATCATTATAACTGTATTGTAAAATTGTTCGTTTGTGTAACACATTTATAACTTAATGTAGTTAATAATAATATTATTAGCATTATAGTAATGCATTGTCTGTTCCATGTACTGTCTGTTCTGAATGTCATCCACTTTGTGTTAAGTTTGTCTGATGTTATATTGATTAAGTATATTTAATTAGTTTGTTTGTTCATAATATACTGTTGAATAACAGTATTGTTATCACAATAGATTGTTTGTAAATGTTATTAAATAATTTTTGTAAATGCTTCAGAGACCTGCAGAATCTTGTTGGCATGCATAGGTATGTATATGCACATATTTAAATCAGAAATGCAATTGCTTGTTTTGTTTTATTGTTTGTTATTCAGACATATTGTTTGTTATTAAGTTTGTTTGAGTACTCTAGTAATTTCCTTTTACTTTGCTGTGAAACTAATGAATCATGCTAGTAAAATGTATATTCAATGTTGTAATAATATCCTTCTTTAATCATATTATATTATGATTGTTTTTGATTGTAATTATTATAATAATGTGTTTGTAATAATTATATTTGTATTGTTTGTTGTAATAGCCTTATCAGCTTAATACTTTGCTCTTATGAGCTACATTGTCACAATGTAAATTTCTAAATTGTTTGTTAAGGTATATACACTGTGTAGTTGATGTTACTGTTGCAACTTCAAAATTTATTATATAATCAGCTGCTGTGATAACACATTCTGTATAATTAAGTTGTATTAATACATTGTTTTGAGTATAATAGAGATATAATTCTTTCGTTTGTTGTTAGTATACATTTACACAATTGTATTAATGTGTAAAGTAGTATCATTTGTTTAATAATTATAATTTTTGCACTTGTCTTGTGCTGTAATCAGTATTTATGTGTTATAACATTATTCTTTTGTGTGTAGTTAGTTTATACACTCTGTAGCATTGTTTTTTGGTTTGTAGTTATTCATTATACTTTTGTATATCTGTACTTGTCTGTATATCTCAGATATGTGTATTATAATCAGTATCTGATAAGTAATTGTGATATCCAACATGTAACTGCTGAATCCAATATGTTACATATAGTTGCTCAACCATAATATGTGTTAGTTATTATATTGTTCTGTATTCGTTCTGTTAGTTCTATCTGTATTATTATTATTATCATCATTATTATTATTGTTATTATAGTGTCTGCAATTGTATTATTGTTTATAATACATGTTAGATGTTTTATTTATTCAATTTAATATGCTGTTTAGCATATATGTGCTCGTTTTGAGCATTAATTGTTTGGCTGTGATATTACTATATGTGTTATTATTTGATTTATACTATAACATAGTATATTTGTTTGTTGACAGTGTCAATCATTTGTACTATTGTAATGTTAATAGCAGAAGAGTAGTGTTTGCTTTATTAATCTTTTTAATGTTTGTCCATAGTATGATCAGTTAATTTATTATAATATGATCTCTGTGATATTATAGAATATTTTAGCATTTAATAATCACAGTAAGTGATACTCATTGTAGTTTCAACATTGCTTGCATAGATTATGTTACTACTGGGCCAATGATCATAATCACTAAGATGACAATCATATAATGTCTGGGTTGTATGTAGTATAGTAGATTGTGTGTCTGCAGCATATCAATTTGTGTTTAGGATACTCAGACAGGTGAGTCAAGTTCTGCATCATAGTATACTGTGTGCATGTATGTGATGCATAGAACTGTATAGAGCATAGACATAGTAGAGTGTAGATAAAGTGTAGGCAGGGAGTGCAAGGCTCATAACCTGTTAAGAAAGGGGAAGAGAGGTTATGTGAGAGGCTTAGAGGGATCACACAAAGAAGGGGGATAGTGGACTCAGCTTGCTCTCTCACAGCTTGCTTCATTGTCTGTTGATTAGTTAGTCTATATATACTATGTAGGTATGTCTCAGATGTAGAATGTATGATGGAAGGTATTCCATCATTGTTCATCATTGCTTGTAATGTAGTTTATATCATCTGAGACATACTCTTGTGTAGTCTTGTCTTAACAAGTACAGTAACCAAGTGCTGGTAGTCTTCTTTCAGTATTGTATCATTGGCAACCTTCATATTGCAAGAAGAGTTGGGAATGATGCACTCGATTGGATTGGACTGTACCTCAAGTTTAACATGTCCAGTCCTTTTTATCCACTACTAGGAAAGTGAAGACAATTTCCTGAAAATGCCATAACAAACACATGCAAAAGGAGTGTAGAACAAAGAGCAAATCATTATGGAAACAGTGTTAGTGTAGAAACTGCATCATGGATGAAACAGTCAGAGATGTGTGGTTCAGGAACATCTTTACTTGTATTAGTAATTATTGCTCTAATTGGTATATCATAATATTACCAGCAATATATATACAACAGCAGAATAAAATTATACTATTCTGTAATGAGCTTATTATAATCTACCTTATTGTTCAGCCCCAATATTAGATAATCATCTGCAAATGTAGTAAATAAATTGTTCAAATGAGAGAATAGGAAATACTAGTGCACACAGGATATACCAAAATAAATATATAAATAGATATTCTTGTCCAATACTGAAACCTGTACAACATTTGCAATATGATAATAATTTCACATGTAAAAATAACTGACATAAATTTACAACTATTCTGTTTCAAGTTTCTCAACTGGTTTTGCAGTACCAGAAAGAGCAAGTCCATGCCTGAATTTGTCCCCATCCTGTATGTGCTCAACTTCCAGAGCAGGCTTTACAGGATACTTCTCCACAAGCAAATCCAGTTTCCTAAATAGTTCCTGGACTCTCTCATTATTGCCTTTGATCATTTCATTCAAGCACTTTTCCTTCAAGAATTCCTGGATTTCAGACACAGGTGGTTCAACTTTGCAAATTGTGTTGAAGGCAATTTCATCTACAGAGACATTTTCTTCCTTTAGTACAATAAGGAGCTCCTGGGCTGCATGTCTACTGACACTTGGAGAGGCCGGATTTTCATGGACCCTAGGACGAACATGGGAACGTACGTGGATGGAGAGCTTGCTACGTGTTTCCGATGATGGATCAAAGTTCTCTTTGAACATTTTACGGACTTCTGCCGGTGATATATTCTGGAGGAGTTTTGTATCCTTCTCGTTTTGCTGGAAGTCATAGTAACCGCTCTGGATAAATGTCCAGAACATTTTTGTCTCTTGGGGAACCGTCTTTATTTTCTCCATCCAGCCCTTCTCAAGAGCTGTTTTATGACCCTCGAGTGTTTCATTTGATATGTCCCGGATTATCTTGCGCATATACCTTAGAAATGCCTCGATGCGCGATTCAAGGTAGCTCAAATCCATCTCAGACTGTATCACCAGGCACCAACCAATAGACTCTGTGCCCAGAACAGCTAGAGATCCAACCGCATATCCAAGGTGTTCCTTCGTTCGAAGAATGTCGAATACTGGCTCATCTAAGATATGGGCGAGCAGAAAACACGTTACACGGGTGTGTGGGTCGGAGAGGTTACCGACATGACAATAATATGATACACTCGAGCTAGTCTCCTTGTCATTAGTTAAAGGCATTTCCCAAATATAATTGCATCCTGTTGCAATCATTATAAGATTTAATCATTTCGTACAGCTTGTATGATGCATACCTTTGGGAAGAAGACGCGTGCGCATCTTCGGGAGCTCCGCTTCTGGTAACGGTTTCGAAAGCAATGTTTTCTTTGCCAAAGATGCAATGTTGAGAGCATCCTATGGAATTGTAAATGTTTGCATGCAAGGTTTGACAGAATATAGGCTCACCTCCCTTCGAAGATTACCGGTGACGAGAACTTTAAATCTCAGATGGGACAGCAACGCTTTGGCATGCTTAGATAGTTCTTCGATAGTAATGCCTTTTTGACATTAACCAGTGTCATCATATGGGTATGAAAATGAAGAACAGACTTTTCAACGCCTCTTCCCGATCTTCAATACTGAATATACGATCATCCCTGAGGTAGGTCAGGTAACGCATAGAAAGTGTATCCGGGCTTTCAAATTTCATATTCTTCAAACTAAGCAAATTCTGGACGATTTATTGCAATGTCAGCTGCCGGCATTTTCAGAAGGATTTAAATCGACATAACTCGTTCTAACATAACCCGGAACCTGTCTTTTCGAATTTCGAGGTGTCTAATCTTGTTGAGCACTGCCTCAGCTAGTATGTGCAATTTATCGTTATATCCGCCAACTGTTAATGTGAAACCACTGCTGGTTTCATCCAGACTGTACCCTACATCCGCCATCTTTGCATAGAATGAATATTCATTCAGTGCATCTTCGACAAGGTTTACAAACATCCGCGTCAGCACCGAGGCGCGGGAAGTCAAACCAGCGATGGGCCTAATCATACAATTAAGAAGATTAAAAACATAAGTAACAGACTGACAGGTACGTAAGAGGAAGACCTTACGTTTGTGCCGAGATTTTCACTATGGCCTTCGGAACCCAAAATTGGTCGTCCTTTTTGTGCCATAATTCCACCAGCGATGTGCGCTCGAGAAGTGCGGGTCGTTTCTTTGGTTCAGAAACGTGTACCCTGTGGACATCGAAGTTCTCTGGAAGAAATGGGTTTGGTTCTGGTAAAGTAAGTCCGGGAATGTCGTTATCTTTGCGAGCCTGTGAATAACGAGCCATACTTTAAATAATAGTCCATTTATGAAGAAATACACTGACCTCAGAAATAAACCTAGATTCAAGCTGTTTCTTGACATACTCTGCTCCACACCATTGTTCCTTGTGCCATGTTTCCTCATGAATATTATTGTGCTCGTTAGCAGCTACAATAATATAACAATTCTCAATGTCTAGTTCCTTCAGTGTATCACGTACAATCTTCTCGTTCCACTCCCAGAAAAGGACAGGACCATTCAGAAGATGCGCACGCGGAATTGGAAGCTTCATCGATTCAGTAGCAATACTGACTGCATGAGGAAGTGCAGGATCTTTATCCTTGAAACGGAATGATAGTTCTTGGATTGCCTTCAGTTCCTTGTACATCCATTCCGGGAACTTGGATTTGCGTATTAAGTTGATGAACTTGAAGCAAGTTAAGATGACTTCTCGATGGTTTTCTAATCATATACTATTAGCACAAGAGCATTAACTAGTAGCAAAGACACGTGCCAAATCCATCCTTAGTTAACACTAAGTCAACCTTGAACAGACTCATCCCTCGATCGGGATCGTAACATACAGCAGATAATCCTTGAAGCCATCCCTTGTTTTTCAAATAGGAATGCAGTGAACCTGGACCTTCATGTCCAAGTAAATAAGCAATAAAATAAGTTGGACTTTCACGCCAAAGAGGGTCCTGCCAGTGGATAGGGAAGGCAATAGTAATGTCGTACGTTTCTATGATTGTCTTAGCATAGATGATTTTCTAGCAGATGCGATGCTATGTTTCAGTGTAAGGTAGGATAGACTAGATCTCTGACACGTACACCTAGCTCGTGCTTCCCATATGGGCGCTCCAAGGACTTGAACGGAGCAGGGTCTTGGCCCTTGTTTTCGATTTGGTTGAATCGCTTCAAGACCATATGAGTGAGCTTGTCAAGAGATTCTGCTCATTTTTATAAACATAAAGGACTGCAACAGTAAAGTAGACAAACCTTTTCCAACCACTGATAAGCTCATCCTACTTGCACAATACTCCCTTTCCCACCATTTAATCAATTTCTTCCTTGCCTCCAAAACAGCTGCGTACGCTGCTCTTTCCAAAGCGTCCGATAATACCGATATTGTTGCCACAGCATCCTTTTCGGCCTTCCTATCACTCTGAGAGTTCTGGGAGGGTGTCCTACTCGGAGTCCTGGATGGTGCTCTGCTTCCACCAGTATGTCTTGCCTCTGAATTCGTTTGCACTGATGCATGTGATCTCCGCGTTGAGCTTCCGCTCCTTGATGCATCATTATGATGGTTATCCTCTGTCAACGATTTCTTGGGTACCTTTTTGGAACTCCTAGCGCTGTTCACAGAGGATTTGCTTGCAGTCCTACCTCGGGATCCGTGCTCATCCTTAGTAACCGAAAGTGCTCGCTTTCTGGCTCTGTCAAGTTCGCCGTCCAAAGATCTCTCAATGTCTGTGAAGCGTTTTCCCAATATTGTTGCCCTACTGCCATGATTGAATTTCCGCAAAGGATGGCCTGGGTGAGCAAGGCATTTTTCGAGGTACTGTAACCTCCACGCATCTTTCTGAAGGGCATTCGAATACTCATCGTTAACTACCCGAACCTCATGCAGTGCCGAATCTTTATGAAAGAGTGGACAATAGAAGAATGCAGAAAAATGATCGAGTGCACCTTCAAGTGCATCCGAGGCAACTGTAAAGTAAAAGGCGGTATAGCTACCAGCAGTCCAGGCGTTGCCGTCGCCACTGTTCAAGTCGAGGTACTGTATATACGGGAGCTGTTTAAGGATATCTAATCTTTAATTTCAAATGAATTGACTGTACCTGCTGATACCCATTTTCTTGCTCATATCTCTTCGAACCCTGTAATCAGGGTCCCAGAAGGTAAGTCTGTGATACCCAAATCGTGGTTCAAGTTTAAGAGACTTGCTTACCATGAACATCAAATGCTCACAAAAATGGGCAGTGCCTGGCATGTCATCCTAAAAAGGGTAAGTAACATTGAAATGCATGTATTAGCTCATTGATCCGACATTAGTACCCAAGGGCTATGGATTTAGAACCACATAGCCTCTATACGGCGTGTCGAAGAGCATGCCAATGGTTCATGAAAAAGGCAAATGCGTAATGTAGCTTACCGGATCATGGAAATATCCAGTTGAAACATCCATGCAAGCGGCGGACCTGTCCGCGTGCTTGTCGCTAACGATCGTTGCTTCAAGGTGATTGGCTAGACGGATAATGCGATATTCGCGGTCATTGAGAGAATTTTTTTCAACAGGCCGCGTGTATTCATAATACTCTGGAAGACCGTTCTTAGCAGGAACTAACACCCAATGCTGCTCATCTTCCTTTAAGAGGTGTTTCAATGTTGTCTGTTCGGAATCGGTTGCCCTCATTTCAAGGGTGATGAACTTGAGATAATTACGCTGGAAAGACTGCCTCAACTTGCAAGATTATAAGTCAATTTTATATCTTACAGTGAGAGCAAACTGACTTTCTTGAAATCACGGCAGACAATACATCATGACTCATCAGTACGGTAAACAGATTACAGCACTCATTTTTCTTGTCCAATCGGAGACATGCTGTAAGATAGGTTTCACATGCATTGCATGTTTGTATATCTTGTTACAACACATATATGCAGTATATAGGTAAATGACGCGAGCACAACGGTAGAAATATAGGTCCTTCATGCAATCAGTCGTTTCAGCTGGATGGATAGCAAAGTATATTACGGAAGTAGATCAAATCATCAAAGATTCGAAATTCATGTGGCAACACAGGATAAGGCCTGGCTGTTTCAGAAGCTCAATCAATTACATCAACAACTTGAATTCCGTAAGAAGAGTTGAAAGAGATAGCAATATTCTAACAGTTACATCAACAGGGCCGGGATCTTACTATACTATGCCATAGTATCGCGCTGATGATGTGCCCATCCTACCCATTGGAAGTAAAAACAATTAGCTAAAGCAAAGTACCCATTACTAATCCCAGAAATGTAACATATTATGGTATTGCAATGTTTTATCATTATTCAACCGGTTAAATTATCAAGTGTGTTATAGTACAATTACCCTAGCACATACCTCTGTCTTAAAAATACAGTCTCTTTAAACTTAATTTTGTGAATAAATATAGTGACAGTGTGTTCAATTCCTGGTCTGGTTTTAAAGAATAGTGATTACGAGATGAGAAGGCAACGAGCCTGAGTGCGGCGTCTTAAAGTCTGCTTAAAAGCATAACAATATGCAATTATCTTATTATGAATATTGATCCTATACGAATAAAGACGTCGAGAACAATACAACTGTAGTCTACCGAAGAATAAAATACACCATTCTACAATGCAAGCCCTTTACAATTATATTTCACTGCTCAATCCCAATGTGAGAACAGACATGCAAAGATATCTACCTTCAGATGTTCTCCTTCCGATCTTCCTCCGCACCCAACGCAGTTCCGGCGCCTAACTCGCCATTCGTATATCCATTCCCACCACCGTTAGGAACGCTCGATCCTGCACCCGCCGATTGCTTCTCGGCATCTTTGTCAAAATAATGCTTTGAATTACGGGGCTTCTCGGCTTCGACGTCGGCGCGCGACGCGTATCCGGGAGGTGCCCAGCTGCGGGAGTTCCAAGGCTTCGCTGACGCATCACGGTACATCTACACCACATGCACATTGCAGTTAGAGATGTTGAGAATGTGAGGTTGACATGGCAAATATGAGAGAACGTACCAAATCGACGTTTTCGAGTGACATGCCGGACGATTCGTACAAGAAGAAGTACACAACGATTGCACCGAGAAGGTTGCATGAGGCGAAGATGAATCCATATCGGAAATCAATCGCGGAGACAATGAATGGGGTAAAGAATGCCAGGAGGAAATTCTATGTCGTTCGAATTCATACGACATGAGCAAAAAAGTGGCAAGGAATAAACATAGAAAAGGAACGCACCCAGAGCCAGTTCGACGCAGTTGACAGTGCACCTTGCTTCGCACGGGATCGTGTAGGGAAAGTCTCGCCAATCAAAATCCAAATACCCGCTGCACAGATAATGAGACATCGTTCCTAAGACGCAAACGGGAGAATAAATTTGAGAACTCACGTGCCCACGTCGAAGCGTACCCCAAGATGAACAAGCATGCGGAAACAATCATCAACTTCCCAATTTCAGGATTATCCCTCGGATTCTTGGCAGTACCAGCTGCAGCAAAAACAAACAGCCATGCACTCTGCCATAAACCTCCCACAATAAGTGGAATTCGTCGTCCGTAACGCTCCATAATGTATAAACCGAGGAAAGTGCAGACGAAGTTGACAGCTCCGAGGATGATCTGCGTTACATAGGAATCAGAAATACCGACAGATTGGAATATCGTTGCGCCATAGTAGAAGCTGCGAGAAACTTGAGTATATGCGATAAACGAGAGGGAAAAAAATAGACAAACAAGTAATTTGCACCAGTAAGCTGCTGCAAACTCTGCAATGACATCCCAAGAAGTGTTCTGTAACCTATACGCGACGATCCAGCACGGAATCCCTTGAAGCAATCAATCCAACCCTTTGTCCAATGCGGATTTTCGCCTTTCAATTCACTTTTCGCTGGGATATCACCACTGGCAAGTCTCGCTTTGTCTATGCCCTGTTCAATCTCGATGCTATCAAGTATTTCGTCCAATTCGTTCGTGACAATCGGATGGTCAAGTGGCAACGCACGAACTTTAGCAATGGCGGCACGTGCGGCTTCTGTGTTGCCATGGCGTGTACTCCAACGAGGAGATTCAGGCATAAAGCGAATGCCAATACCGAGGACGAGTGCCCATGCAATACCAATGCCCACGACAGTGCGCCACGATCCAGAATCACCCATTGAACGCGTGCCAATAGAGATACAGTACGCAACTAGAATACCGAATGTAATAAACAGTTGGTAGGTTCCTGTAAGCGTTCCTCGGATTTGTGGAGGTGCCTACGATAATACGTAAAATTTAACGTCTAATGTGGCACACGAGAAGATCACTTACCGTTTCGGCTTGATACATTGGTACAGCGGCAGAAAGGGCGCCAACTCCGAGTCCAGCGATGAGTCGTCCAATAGCAAACTGATACCACGCGTGAAAAGTGGTGATTTGGATGAGGACACCGATGATGAAGACTCCGCACTCCATGGACATTGCATTTCGGCGACCGAAGAAATCGGCAGTTCTAGGGCATACATGCGTGTGAGAATACGATGGGAAGATACATTGTAAAATGGAACTGATGAGATAATTAAACTTACGGAGCTCCGAGAAGAGCGCCGATAAGTGTTCCAATACTGAGCAGGGAGACGATAAGGCCGCTCCGTACGTCACTGAATGCGAATGTACCATCACTATGCTGCTGTGCGAAGCGGGCCTTGAAGTCGTCCATAAGGAGAATATCTTGTACGTTCTCAATAAATAAATATAATGTGGAAAATCGATCAAATGCTAACCTGAAATTTGACCCGTGTCGTAACCAAAAATGAACCCTCCCATAGAGGCGAGTAGCGCGAGGAGTATGGAGAAGATACTGATAGGCAGGCCACGTATCGTGAATCGGGTCATGCCGCCGACCTTGTCATCGCTGTTGTACGCCATTGCCATCTTGAATATCCAATGAAATGATAAACAGATCAGTGGAAGACACCAGGGCGAACCGACCCAGGATTAGGAGAGACAGAGAAATGTGGGGTATCGCTCGACACATAGTATTACTTGAGCCTTATGTATGACGGCAGGAAAAATGAAACTTCAGACCGGACCTGCGATGATGTCAGCGAGGAGTCTCGGCCTCGGAATATGGGACCGCCGCACTTTTCCAGAACTCAATACTCCCGTAATACGAAGTGTGTCAGTCGCTTGAAAACGCCTTCCGTTATAAAACTGCATTTCCAATATGTCGTCGCCGTGACCTCTCTCCATACTGTTCGTTTACTTTAGCTTGTCGATGAGTGTTTCGAAAGGAGGTGGCACGCATGTTGAAGATTTGTTCAAAGTCACCAGGTGAGACAGGAGAAAGTTACAGACATGACCATTGCCAGTATCAGGTCTAGTAGCCGCAACGATGTTTTAGAGCCGGGCAGCGGTATTGCGAGGAAACGAGAAACGGAAGCAAGGATAATCTGCCCACGTGATACGACATGCACCATCAGACCGACTCCACTCAAGCTCAGCTCAAAACTTGGGTGCGCGTCGCCGAAACCGGCGCCCATAAGTCTATACCACAAGCACTCAGGTATACGGGAACAGATTTAGACCACATATTTTGGTCCGGCGCCGTCAAACCGCGTGTGTACTGTTCTTCCATATCAAAATGAAAAGACTCTCGCGAGTCTCGCCGCTGGCCGATATATCGATAGGATTATCGAGACTCGTGGTTCACTCAGCTTCACTGAGTAACTACTCTTGACGTTGGTATCGTCGCAATACCAAACCGTCGTTATCCGCTACCGCAGAGAAGTGTGAGTGAGTGTTAAAGCAGAACGAGTTTTTAACACCAGCTGATATTCGAGCTTCGGTCCGCGATTTTCAGCCTTCCTTCCTCCCGTCTTGTTCGCATAATTATAGTGAATAATATTGGCCTACCTCACAGTTGATTTACTGAAGACGTTACTGGATGGCTCTGCCTCGGACACCTCAGACCGTCGCATGGCTGACTAGGAACGACCATTACGACTTTCACGGCAAACGGGAACAATTTAAGTTGAAGGTTGGGCTTCTTCTCAATGCCCGTTTTTGGAATTATCTGCTCACGTGCCTTGGTTTTACTCGGACCGAATCCCGGGTTGAGTCAGTATCTATCAAAACCTTTCTTGTACCACGGTTTCAACTATTTTTTTTAGAGACGGATCTAAAGACATAATGGCCCTACGGCCTGCCTACACCGTCAAACAATGCGCACTTTCATTCTTGATCAAGACAAAACGATCCCATGCTCTTGCGTGTTGATAGGAATACCGTGATTCGTGATACGTTGAGTCATGTCCGACGCTGACAACGATATCGTCCGCCGCCGCAGAGAACGTGTGACTTGACTTTTGGGTAGAGTCTTACACAGTGCAACTAATATTCGGCTTTCAGTGCTGTGCCTCCAGCTTTATCCTCTGCCCGTCTTGCCACAAGGATACTTTTTACTCAGTACTAGTATTGCTCTGTCGCACAATTGCTGTGCTTCCAGCCTTTCTTCCCATCCATTGTGTCCTGAGGATACTGACTACTCATATTTTCCAGTTTCAATTGAAGAAATTGCGGATAGCTGTGCCTTGTACACCTCAGAACCGTACAGGCCAGTCTCATGAGCCTTGACGCTGAAGAGACGCTGTGTTCAGTTGATGTTACATGTTATATTGCTGAGCGTCTGCGGGACTTCGGGAGCGAGACCATGCAAGAGCAACGCTTACCGTGCGTCGACAAATCTTGATAACCAGACTGATATTAATAGGCAGGTGATCCAGAGACAATTCTCAATTTTATAATACTTACTTCAATATTTCTGCACTTTCATCCTTAAAGATCGGAACAGAATGACTCTCGTCACTCCCCCCTGCTGCTTCTGCGTGTTGACAGGAATTTTGTGGTTCGTGGTACACTAAGTAATTGTTTCTGACATTGATATCGTCGACCGCTGCTACGGGAAATGTGAGCATTGAGTTAAGTCTTTTCCACGATGAGAGTCATGAGACTAATACTTATTCGACCTTCAGTGCCACCCCTTTATCCTCTCTTTCCATCCGTCATGCTATGAGGCTACTGAATACTAGTACTAGCTAGCCTCGCAATTGAGGAACTCGGGACAGTGCAGACAGTGCAGAAGGCTGTGCCTTTGTACATCCCAGAGCCGTCGGAGCCGGGCTAGCTCTTGATGCAAAAGAGACGTCTCGATCCGATGATGTTACGTTGCTGAGCGCCTGCGAGTCTTCGGGAGCGGTACCATGCAGGAGCAGTGGTCATCGACGTGTGTCAAATGAACTTGATGGCCAGGCTGATTCTGCCAAGCTGTTACTCCAGAAATTATTCCAAATCCCATACACATACTGGGAAGAATCAACTGTTTACTGAAGTTAGTGTCGGCACCCGGGTCACTGCGAGTCCTTCAGGACATTACAATAAGTGCTATGCATGGATCACTGGATTTGATACTGGAGCTGTTCCGGCGGGCGAGCGTCTGTTACTGGACAAAACTATAAAGCTTGTCAGTCTCTGCTTTCGTAGACTCAAAGAGAAATATCACAGAATACGGTCAGTGTTACGCTGAAGGATACCCATTTATCCAAATATATACTACTGTTCATCTCGTGGTCGCTTTGGAACCGCCTTTATTATCAGTCTTGCTGTCCGTTGAAGTATTCTCATTTCAAACTGCTGTAATGTGTTAACCTGATACAAGCGTTGATCAAGAATACGTCCGAGTAAGCGCACAGGATCACATCGTAATCATCTTCGGGGTGATATAGTAAACGTGCAAGAAGAGCGCACTTGACTGATACAGCGTCTGTGCCACTAGCTGCACTGGCAGTTGCGTTCGCTTCTCGGCGCACTGTTCGACGCTTTAGGTCGGACATTAACCCTGATGAATATCTTATAAGGCAATAATATCCGGATATGGCTTGATAAAACACAAGTCACTGCCTTATTCGGCAAATACAACAAATATGACTCTCGCTACTTGTACGGCGAGCACAGGCTTGCTGTTGCGAGCCTTGCAACACCTTGTTTCTTCCACACACAGCAGCGCCCGGCCCAGTGTACTTATGACCTCTTGACGACGACGCCCAAGCCCCTCTTCCGGTGCCTTGCTCGGTTTTGTCTTTTTTGACCATCTTTTTTGGATTGTACTGCCGGTCTCTTTGCTTCCATCTTGACACGAGCCTTGACACGAGGTAGCCCAGGGTAGCCTTCACGATCTGGCGCCATGTTCGACGATATTCCCCAGCTTGTCGATTCTCGAGCTATGTATGCCGGTGCGACACCATATCGCAGTCCGGGAGGCGATGCCGCACCAGTAATTCCAGGTGGCTTCGGGGCAGGAACTCCAGCGCGCCAGCATCCGACGCCGGCCCTCAGCCATCGTTCTCTTAGTCGAGGCATCTCGCGCTCTTCGCCTGTAAATCCTTATAACCCTTGGCTTAATGAAGCTGGAGCCGAACAATTCTCGATGCCTGCAGCAGCCGTTGACCAGGGATTCGGATCTCCTAGTGGGTGGAATATACCACAAGCAGGTGGAGTTATGCATCCATGGGGTGCTGGACCTGCAGGTGCAGAACCTCCCATGTTTAGCATGCCATCTCCGAGAGGTTCGTCATGGAGCATGGCACGGACTCATGAGCAGGACCCAGGGGAAGGCGAGGATGATCTACCACCAGCACTTGAATGGAGTCCAGGTGCAAATGCGGCATGGGATCGGGCATGGGGACAGTCTTCGCCTAACCAATGGAAATGGGATGGGAAATTGGATGCATGGGGCCAATCCAATGGATCAAGCCCTTCTCCGTCAGCTTCGGTTATCAATGGGTTTGCATCAGGCCCACGATCGCAATATAAACGTCCCGAAGACTGGAGGCAGGGTTTTAGTATGTCGAAACCCGGCGCATTAACCCGTGTCTTCTCGATCGGGAAAGGAAAGAATGGTAGTGGTGAGTTGCGTCTGTCGCTTTTTATCCTCTGCAACTTCATTTCGTACGGCATGCTCCAACGTGCTGTATTAATATCTCGCGTCTCATATGACTCCTCATTTCTCAATCTAACTTATGACTTCCCATTTGTGAAAAAGGATTCTCATTATTTAACAAACCCTCCGTACATTGGACACTCGATGTTCAGAAGGCGCGATGTACATGGGACGTTCGTAAACCTCCAGGCCACTTTCTTGTCCTACCTGACCATCGGCCACTCTCGTATCTCGAACTTCAAGAAGGAGCGATGTCACCTCCTCCACTACGCATGAAACTCGTACACCCAAAGCTACCTTGGACAATTCACGTCGCTGCTGGGCCCGGAGAAGTTATTACCGTCGCCCATTTACTTGCTACCGTCCATGCCGAGCTGAATCGACAAATATTTCAACAAGACTTTTGGAACGATGACCTTAGTGAGCATGATAGGAAGCGGGTACACGACGCATGGTCGTCAAGGAGCGGTGGAGATCGTGCGATTGCAGAACAGGGAATTAAACGTGTGGACTTCTTGTGCGATCGGTATGTGTTTGAAGGTATAAAACGCGTGGGTGAAGTATGGGAGATGAAGTTGAAGTCAGGAAGGAGGTATATGTAATTTCAAAAACCCATGGTCTCTTTGTTATCTGGGACATCTTGAACGGTAGAGGAAATATGTCCCCACCACGTCCCACCTTTTCTTTTCTCGTACTCTTATCTTTTCCTTCTTTTTCTTGTCTTCTGTGTCAATTTTCTTGCTCTGTGGTCAATTATGTCGGCCCAATTCCTGTATTTGTCTCGTCTCGCAAAATTCCTCTATTATTCTTCCCCGCGCAGTCCATCAAACTCTGTACCCAAGTAGATCATAAACTGTTTTCATATCGGATTAATGCATACCCTTGTTGTTTATTATTTTATTCACTCGAGTTTGCGTGCGCGGCTCATAGGAGATGAAGGCCGGTTTCGGTAATTCTCACTTCCGTCAAGTTGGGTCTAATGAGCTGGTTTGACCAAAATCGATTACGTGCGCTTTATTATATACGCTTGGCTCACATGCGGCGACAAATATTTGTGCAGTCGAAGCTCTTTTCGCTGTGTGGAGGATTGTCGGGGGATTTACCTTCAATATTTTTCGTCGAGCGGTGAGCACGTGATGGTGCTCGTCATGTGCTTACGCTTGTGCAATCTGCTGTTCAGTTTTAACTGAGTTTTATTCCTTGACGTGCAACTTCTATCTGCACTTAAATGCACTTTTTTGTGCGTTGCGCTCTTATGATCGGCACCTATTCAAATCCGAATCTCGGTCTGCTTTGTCTAGTTGCGGCTCTTCGTCGAAACTACTTTGAACAAAGATTCGGAAAATAACCAGGCGACATCCTGAAGAACGCCTTTGAACTGAACGTCGACTTGTGCTATTCTTATCGTCTTCGATGATCACTTGACCATGTCTTGACTTCTGTAGCGTCTGTTCACCGATGTCTGATCATAATGTCTTGCGGCGCGGAGGGAAGAATTTTCTTGCTAAGTGGGCTACGCGGCCCGACGAGCGGGTACTAGTACTCAAATACCAGTGATCCTGGACACTTCCTCTTGTTTTCGCCTCATTCAGTCACTCTCAGTAATAGGACAGAAAGGGACTAAAATGCTGGCTGGAGGTGTCTTGGTGCTATTTTCTAGTATTGTGCGGTCATTTGCGGTACCGGCACCAGCATCAGCACCAACACCAGACTCCCATGGAATTATTCTGCGAGACTTAGCTGTGCCCCGGTTCTTTGGTGCAGCAGCAAACACTACGTTTCTCTTCCATGATGCAAATTACACGAAGGTCATCTCGACTCAGGCATGTCCCACTATCATTTCTCATCTATCAGTAACGTAGGTTGACATGTGTTCTCTTCAAGTTCTCGATCTTCACTCCTGAAAACGAAAGTATGTCGATTTGTTTGTATGAATGGTGCATTGTAGAACTGCGCTTAATCGTTGAATCATAGTGAAGTGGGAAAGCATCGAACCGGAACAAAATATGTTCAACTTCGCCGCTCCGGACGAGATCGTACGGTTTGCGGAAAGCGTGAACGCGAAGGTCCGCGGGCACAATTTCGAATGGTGACTAATTTCTGGTTTGTGATTAACCGCACAAAGAGCTGAAATACTTAAACTTTCTTAGGGGAAACCAACTTCCGCCATGGGTCAATGATACACTCACTGCCACAGAACTCGACCGGGCTCTGAAGAACCATATAACGACCATTATGGATCATTATCGTGGAAAGCTCTATGCATGGGACGTTATTGTATGTGTATTATGTCCATTTCATGCTTTCGCTACTGATTGAGTCTATTGCACATGGATAGAACGAGATGATTTCGGACAATACTCCAAACGAGACCTTCAAGGATAATATTTGGACACAAAAATTCGGAGAGGAGGCTATGCCTAAAGCTCTTACATACGCACGCGCGGTTGACTCTCAACCAAAGCTCTAGTAAGTGGACGCGACTCCTCGCCCGCCTTTGATTATCCTGAAAAGTCTTTCTCGCTAGTATCAACGACTATGGTATCGAGGGTATCAACTCAAAGTCTGACACGCTTTACAGTGTCGTCCAATCATTCATGAATGATGGCGTTCCGATCGACGCTATCGGTTTTCAGTGCCATTTCACACTCGGACAAATACCCGATACGCTTGCGGAAAACTTGCAGCGCTTCGCGGCGCTCGGCCTAGATGTCGCTATTACTGAACTTGATATCAATCTCCGTGGACCGGCGAATGCGACTGCCCTCGCACAACAGGCACGTGATTACTGGACCGTAGTTAATGCATGCGTACAGACAAAGCGCTGTGTTAGCGTGGTAAGTCTTGTGTACTTCCACCTGTCAATTTGGATGCTTTTAATCGCTATTCTCCTTTATGTGTAGACTGTATGGGGTGTCTCGGATGATCATTCCTGGATTCCAAATGGTGAAGTTCTTCCTTGGAATGCCGAAAAGCAACCCAAGCCGGCATTCTTTGCTATTGCAGATGCGTTTGAAGGAAAGCCAGAGCCTGCGTTGTAACGTTGACGACTGTCTCTAAAGAATTGAATTGACTGCGCACAAGTGCAGACCCTTATTGCTGCGAGCCTCGCGCTACGCTTGACTCTGACTATTCGGCCGTTGCAATGTTCCAAAGGATAAATCACCTCGTTCTGAGTTGACTTTTTCAGAAGCCGTAACTTTGTGGTCCGTGATAATTTAAGAATGTCTGTACTTGACCTCATGTGTCGAATAACGCAAGCTATCACGGGCCGGAAGACAATACAAAACTAATCAAGACACGATATTCGTCATAAGTGATATTGATGTGCAACGAATGCATGGTACCTTTAGCATCTTTGTGAATTTGATTGGATGCGGACCCACACTCGGACATCTTTTAAATACCTCATCCTGTCAATTCAGCTCATTACCCTTGATAAGCAAACATACTTTGCATTGTAGTTATTGATGTGGCTACTATATTGAGCTTGTCGAAATGTCGGTTATCCGAGTTAGCTGTATAGAAGGTAAATGCAAACGGGACACCAGTATAAACCATCTTGTCAGACAAAGTCCCGCTGCTGGGTTCTTAATAATGTGTGTTCCACATCTTTGATGGCCTTGCATGATACTTTAGTCTCTTAAAAACTCTCCTTTATGATTGTTTGTAACAAGGCGTCCAGTTTTCTCTAATCGAAATACAGTGAAAACTTGTATAATATTGGTAAGTGAACCTTATTATGGTTCTGTTGCTTGAATTAAGGTATGGAATGTTAGTAATGTTGTCTTATACTCTCTTTGCATGCCAGTCACTGTCAGTTTCATAAGAGTTTGTCAGTGATCCTATTGTATGCACAGTATCCATGACATTGTCTTTTATATCTAGCAAGTCAACAACTGCATTTGTAGTATCATGAGTATTCTGGCATTGATCTATAGAATTATTTCGTCGATCTCAGGAAGCTTTCTCAATCCAGTGTTAGATTTTGTGAGGTCTGCAAACTATTCATGTTCGTTCCATGAATAACTCGATCTGCCTGACATCTAGTATCAATGTGTGACAGTAGAGCTTAGAGCAAGAGCACAGACTCTCAAACACATTATAAGACCTTAGTATTCGTCTGAGTTTGGCTCTCTGCCTCTGTGCCCACCTTTCAGGCTCTGCAAGGAGATTGAGAGTGAAAAAGCTTATGTAGGGTTAATGTGTTCCCGGGCCGCTGATGTAGTACTTTGCTTTTAAGTTGACTATTACTGCTAGCCGTACCATATAGTGTGGCGAGCAAATCAGGTCAATCAGGCTAGAAGAAGTACATTAAATCGAATCGGAACTCAATCAGACGCCATACGAGTGAGCAGCAAACAAGTGGCACCTGAGGTATCACCTTGCAACTGGACTAGACACAGCCTTGACTTATGCACCTTGATACTTCTTAGCGAATCTTGTTTGATGTGGCATGCATAATTTCGAAGTACAAGATTGCTAACCTTCTGGTCAGATCAAAATTTAGTGTATAGTCAAAACGAGATAATTGCAACATGGGTAAGATATTAGCAAATTCGACTAGATAGAGATCTAAATCAAAGCTTTCCCTTCAGATAACTTAAAAAAATGCAGCTAGACGGACAAAATTAAGCTTACTTGAATTAGAAATGGTGGACAAGCATCAAGCCCGGGCCTAAGAAATGTCTTTGCATTCCCTTGCATCAGCTTAGCACCCCTGTAAAACCGATGCGAACTACATAGCTCGCACCAACGTACGAGCGTACTTTCCTTGCCATTAATGTCTAGTTGCTACTTTGGCCTTATTGGATCGTTAGGTCCTGCTCCTACAAATTCTGGAGCAAACATACCTAGTAACAGCAAGTGATCTTGTGGAACGATTATTTCTCGCTACATTATAAACGATGTAGCCGCCACACTTACAATTGCCAGCTATTGTACTTTGTTTTCTTAGACATTCTCCTTCATAGTCGTTTAGTCCCGTTGCAATGAAGTGTCCAATTTTGCTCTTGGTAAATTACTTAGATAACCATCCACAATCGAGATTTCCTCCCATATTCTCTCCCTGCAGCTGTATCGGGTGACAGGCTTTACAGCAATGGCCGTTTCTTACAAGACCACGTTGAAAGAAGACAACGACCAGAATTGGGAAGTAATTCCTACCGAGGATGGTGTTTCATCATACCGTGTATACAAGCAGCCCATTTTAAAAGGATCTCTGGATGACCGCGAATATCGCATTATTCGTCTTCACAATGGTCTTGAAGCTGTGATCGTTAGCGACAAACACGCAGACCAGTCCGCCGCTTGTATGAATGTTTCGACCGGATATTTCCGTGATCCAGTAAGCAGTGTCTTTCGTGCTTATTTTATGATCCCACTGGCATTTTTTTCTCTCCCTCGAACGAGACCCATTGCACAAAATACCCATGCATGCGCTTCTTACTTCCGTTCCCACAAGATGTAGCATGCGGAATGCCATCGATAAATCATCCAAACGTTGATGGCGGCGTTACTTACTAGTTTACAGGACAACATGCTTGGTATCGCTCATTTTTGCGAGCACTTGATGTTCTTGGTAAGAAAATCTCCGATTCTGACGAACTTCGGCCCGCGCCAGCGCATAACTTCTGAGACTGTAATTACAGGGTTCAAAAGAACATAAGCAAGAAAATGCGTACAGACAGGTAAAGTCATTTGGTCAAAATTAAAGTCATATGACTCTTAGGCACCTCCCGTCATGATCATAAACAGTACCTTAGCTTGCACAGCGGTCGTGGCAATGCGATGACAAGTGGTACTGACACCACTTTCTTCTTTCATGTTGCTGCGGATGCACTAGAGGGTGCACTTACTCTCTTCTCTGAGTTCTTCCACTGTCCACTCTTTCACGAAGACTCGGCACTGCGCGAAGTTGAGGCAGTCGATTCGGAATACACACAAGCTCTCCGAGATGATGCCTGGCGGTTAGCGTATCTTAGCCGCTCCCTCGCACGTCCAGGTCATCCGTTGCGAAAATTTAACCACGGCAACAAAGCTACGTTAATAGGGAAGTATCTTGTATCGGAGACATCCCATTCGCAGCATAAGTCAGGTACGGACCGGCACAATCACAGATCGTCGGGTAGAAACCCTCGTACTGAGAACCATGGCCATGGTCGAGCATCAAGTACAAGCTCTATCCGGAGCTCAAATGCATCAACTCGAACGCATTCGGAGACAAGACATAAGGATCGAAGCGCAGCATCGTCCAAAACGTCTAGTAGAACGAGCGCTCAGAGTAACAGGAAGAAAGTAGAGAAAGAAGAATCACAGAAGGCCGAGGAGGAAGCAGAGAAGGAAGCAGCGAAAAAGGCAAGGAAGAAGTTGATTGAATGGTGGGGGAAGGAATACTCTGCGGACAGGATGAGCTTGGCAGTAGTTGGGAGAGGTTTGTTTGCTTCCGTTTGGCTTTAGTTTGATTCTAATTGTGAGTAGAACCTCTCGACGAGCTCACCCGCATGGTTGTGCAGTATTTCTCGCCCATCAAAAATACTGGACAAGACCCTACTCCGTTTAAGTCCATGGTGCGGCCGTACGGGAAAGAAGAACTATGTGTACGTCTCTCACAAGTCTAGCAGATACCAGCTCACGGTGAAGCGCGAAATTGCATTTTCTAGAAAACTGTCTATGTGAAGACAATCGAAGAAAAATATGAAATTACTATTTCCTTTCCGCTAGACTGTCAGGATCCTTTCTGGCGAGAAAGTCCGACGCACTTCATTAGCCACGTACTTGGCGATGAAGGACCGGGTTCACTAGATGCTTATCTGAAAAGTAAAGGATGGATTCTGAACTCAACTGTTGGATGTAATAGCTCTTATCGAGGATGCAGTGTGTTTAACGTATATATAAAGCTGACAGAGGACGGGTTCAGTGAGTAGGCTTTGCGCATATCCCGTGCTCTTGTACTGATGATGTCCTTTCAGAGAACCAGCGCGAGATAATATTAACATGCTTCAAGTTCATTAATCTATTACGCAAATCCACATTTCCGGAGTGGATGCAGGAAGAGCAGAAGATAATTCAGGAGCTGTCGTTCCGCTACGCAGATAAAGGGTTTGCGCTGCCTCATGCATTAAACATTGCGAAACGATTAATGAGATTCGAGACTCCACGCGCTCTTCTTCTGCAGGGTCCCGTCCTGTTCTGGGAGTGGAATGAGAAGTTTATAAGCGATACGCTGAAGGAACTAGACATTGAGAATTGCTATGTTACTGTATCTGCTAAGAATCACGATAACATTCATGGAGAAACATGGCACAAGGAACGATGGTGTGGAGCAGAGTACGTTATGAAGCAGTTTGAACCCGACTTTATTTCTGAGGTTAGTACATTTATTCTTAAATGGAGTATTGTTTAAAAATGTCGCTTGCAATGCACAGGCTCGCAAAGATAATGACATTCGTGAATTTACTTTACCAAACCCAAACCCATTTCTTCCAGAGAACTTCGATGTCCACAGACTACATATTACTGAACCGAAGAAACGACCCGCGCTTCTCGAGCGCACACCGCTTATGGAATTATGGTACAAAAAAGACGATCAGTTCTGGGTTCCGAAGGCTGATGTGAAGATTGCAGTACGAACGTAAGTCACTTCTCGATTGCGTATTTAAGTTTATTAATCTATGTGCCTATCATATGTCATTATCCAATCAGACCTGCTGCTGCAGCTACCCCTCGCGCCTATGCATTGACGAAATTGTTTGTACAACTTGTGATGGCTGAACTCAATGAATATTCCTACCATGCCTGGGAGGCGGGTTTGGATTACAGTCTAGATGCCACCATCTGTGGCTTCACAATAACAGTGGGTGGCTACAATGACAAACTACATGTCCTTGCTGCAGCGGTTCTTAACAAGATTAGCCACCTCAAGATTTGAAAGGATAAGTTAAAAATAATGGTTCAAAAAGTCGTGTTACTTCAAATCACAAGTGTTAGAACTGATGGCTGACGTAGCGTCTATTATCTATATAGGAAAAGCAAAATCTAAAGAATATGCAGGAGAAACAACCGTTTCATCAGTCGCAGCATCACTTGCGCTACATTATAACTGACTATATAAAATATAGCACAGAAGAGCAAGAAGAAGCATTGAAGGGTTTGTTATTCATTTCGACGCTGAGTGACGAAATATCTGCTGATAAAGGACAGGTATTACTGTGGACGAGCTATCTAAGCATGCAAAGTTACTATTATCACGGTTGACATTTGCAATTCTGGTCACTGGGAATCTGAAGCGCGAGGTGAGACATAGCTTGTATTGAACTTGTGATACAATGTATTTTATATTTGTATAGAATGCTTTCAGTATCGCAGCCAAGGTAAAAGAAACGTTAGAGGCTAAACCAGTCCCAGAAGACGAGCTTCCCAAGTTGTGTATGCGCCTCCTTCCTAAAGGTATACACAATCTATTCTTTAATTGGTCTTTTAAATAGTAATTTCAATAGGATGCAATTATGTCTTGGATTTGCCTTTACACGACGAAAACGAAAAGAACTCAAGCGTACACTATTATTGTCACGTCGGCAATGCCTCCGACCCACATACCCACGTATTATGCTATTTGCTTGCGCAAATCTTGAAGGAGCCAACATTTGATGTTCTTCGAACGAAAGAGCAGCTTGGATACATAGTAGACTCAGCTGTCATAGAGGATTTGGAGACGATTGGCTGGGACGTAGTGATACAATCTGAGATGGATCCAAGCTATCTTGAATCGCGCATCGAAGCATTCCTGAGGAGTATGCGTAAGATAATCCAGAACATGTCGGACGAAAAGATTAATAGTCATAAGGAATCACTTGGAAAGCTATGGAAAGAAAAACCCAAGATGATTCGCCAGGAGACGGTAAACTTTTGGACTACTATCAATGACGGATATTATGATTTCCGACGAAAAGAGAAAGATGTGAAACTCCTTCAGAGCATATCGTTGGCGGAGGTCCGTATGATGTTTAAAGAGCGCCTTGATCCCTCATCGAAGATACGCTCAAAGCTCTCCATCCACATGCGTTCACAAAGGCCTTCTAAACCTCCCAATGTCCCAGCTAAACCCAACGTTAGCATGCATGCTGCTCAAGAGTTCTTGATTGCGCTAAAGAAAGAGGGTATCTATGTAGACGAAAATGAGTACAATCAGAAATGTGAAGTGGAACTCACAATGTCGGAAATGCATGAATACTTAAAGGAAACTTGCCTGAATAAATTGGTGAATAATAACGAGAAAAGAATACAGGAACTGTTTAGGAAGTTGGAATCATTTTTGGACAAGTATCCCGTAAAGCCTGCTCTAGAAGTTGAACACATATCGGATGGTGGCAAGTTCAAGCAGGGTCTTACTCTCTCTGGCGTTCCGAAACCTGTTGAGAAGTTTGACAAAGAATAGTTATGCAAGGTTGTAGAATGCAATTCAATGCTGGAAGCTGTCAATATTGAGTAAGGTTGTATTAGACTAAAGTGTTTTATTTATTTATTGCTACACAATGAAATAACAATACTGGAATCATGTTATATATAATGTACTCTGCATTCAACAGAGTGACTTCTCTCAGAATTACAAGGATTTGTAATGAGTCACATACAGCTACAGGTTAACTAAGGCATTCTAATATGATCTAACTTAATCTTTTACTTTGAGACTGGTGAGTGTTAGTACTGCCTTTTGCAATTTATATTGAGTTTATAGTATGTCTGCAACTCTATCAGAGTGCCTTATAGAATGAAAGGTACTGTCAGTTGTACATTTTTGCTCAAAAATAGCCACTTTTTGGACTCATACTTTAACAACTACTTTGACAATATTTATGGTTCAAAATGCTTCAGGTCTAAGAATTTTGAGAAGAATTTTTTTTAGTGATTTTTGATTAAGCATACATACAGTGACTGTAGAGCTCAGATTGACCTTTCCTGCAGATGCTCACTCTAATTTCAATTTTTATTCTTATTTTATATTTTTTAACTTGAATCTTACAGTTGATATGTTAGAATGCAAATATCATTTACAGATTTAAAAAGTATTGTGTTGTGGTAGAGATATAAATTTTTCAAAAGTGTGTAATACTTTTGACTGTTACTGTATATGTATCAAGTACTGTAATGATTCAGATACTGAAGACATACAAATAAATAATATAAATACAAACTGGTTGTAAACAAATAATAATATTATTACAGAGTACTACACTCTTATTCCTTATATAATAACCTAAGATTCTAACAGTTTGACTCAGCACATCTATACCCACCCTTTAGAATACACTAGGAGAGTAGTGTAATCTTGCTTGTACAAAGGAGAGAATCTCCAACAAATAAAGCACTTTTCTGCCTGCACCACCTACTTCATCCTCTCCCTTCAAGCCAGAACGTCCCAGAGATACACCTTCAAAGTCATCCACAACTATTACTGAGTTCACTACACCTCTGATTGTGTGTTACATTGTAGCTAGAGTATACAATGTGCTTGTACAGACACATTTCCCCTGCAGCCCAAATTAGCTCACTCAATGCTCCAGATTTCCAATCCAGGTGACCCACCCACACTTGCTACACACTGTTACAGTGTGTCCATCTTTTCACTCTTATTGTCACTTGCTAATCACTCTAAGCTTGTCTCACAGGCACAGTCTCAATCTCCACAACCTGCTCAACCTCATTCTACACACACTCATAATTCAACTTGTAGGGACCAAGCAACAACCAAAACGTGGTGACAAAGACTACACTGAACAGCCTGAGAATATGTTCATCCTTGTCCAACACAAATCCCACTTGCAGAAGAATGAGGCAGAGGCAGCTGGTAGTGTAGGGGTTGGGACTGTAGAAATAGTGTATTATTTACTATTTTTGTATTCTATAATTTAAATATAATTATATTTGATTAATTATTTGATATAAAATTGTATAGTAAGCAAAAGCAAGCTATTCAAATACTTGTAATGACTTGTAAGCATTATAAGCAGATATTACACTGTTACAAATTAATAAGTATGTCTTAACCTTGTAATTTAGGAAGTATATTATAATCACTTGTATAACTTGACAATTTATAAAATTATATCAGAAATTGCCAAGTTTTAAAAGTATTTTTTCTTGCTTATTTAACATTGTACTTTCCTTGCTTAACCCCCCAGGAAGATTATAAGTAATTGGACAAATTTTATAAAATTTATAAAATATACAAGATTACAAGCAAGTATAATACTTAAGACTTTTTTGTAATGTAGATAGCCTTTATTGTGTTTCAATTAGATTAATAGCTTTCCTATCCCCTATTGGTTTATATCACTTACCACATTATATTGTACTAATAATATACTCAAAAGTCTCAGCTCAGGAGAAGTGAGTGGTGGCTACTGCTTCTGTTATTCAAAATGGTGTCATAGACAGTACTAGAGTATATAAATGCACACAGTGTGGGCCTATCAAGGGTGATGTCAAGCATAGGATGGTAGGTGGGGAAGGAGAGTGTGTGGGGGGTCAGAGAGAGGATTGTGCCTGAGGAGTAGTAATACATGGACATTGTTGCAAGCACATACTCACTGATTGTTGCTTGTATTACTGAGCAGGAAGAAGTACACAAATGCATGGAATTATTGAAGAAGTTGTTCAACATTGGTCAACAATACAGATGTGCAAATGCAAATGCAAAAAAGAAGGTGAGTGTAATAAAAAGGAGGACAATGAAGGAGAGGCAATGTAAGAGGCAGAGCAAGGAGCAGGAGGGATGAAAGGGAGACAAGAAGTTGGGAGGAGAGGGATGAGCAACTATTGTGTGAGTTATTATGAAGTGGACTGGCTACTTATACTTTACACTGAAGGACTGTGTAGCCAGCTTGGCTGTGTTGTCACAAGATCTGAGGCTCAGCACAGGCATTACAGTAGCAGATTAGAGAGACAAATCCAGCAACCTTTATTGCCTAGACAGTTACAGGCAGTGTGCCTGCTGGAGGATGCTTGTAGGCAGAGGACTGGCCTGGAGAGAACAAAAGAGACAACATAGTATTAGGGGAAGAGGGTTGGGGAGATAATGGAGGTAGGAGGAAAAGCAGTGACAAGAGCAAGTGTGTCATTATATGCTCTTGATCTTTAGTACTCGATTATGTAATCACTTTGATATATTGTTTAAAGGTAAAAACAAATTATATTATAAGTCTGACAGAGTGATTGTTAACATTATTAATATATATAATTGTATATTATCTTACTAAAAGTATTGTAATTAACTTACAAGCACAACATATTACTTTTATGACTGTTATAATTAATCAACTATTGTTACAGATAACTTATAATATAATTTTAGCATATTATAATAGGAGTTGAGCACTTGTACCTCACATGTAATGTTGTAATAATACTATTAGTAAGCTTACTTGCTCTAAAACATGTTTGTAGTTTAACAGAAACTTTGTATATTTCTTACATTTATATACAATCATTATAATTACATTATAAGTAAAATATAAGTGTTATTTTAGAATGTAATGCTTATAAAATCATTTTATTAGATTACCTTTGCTATTATTAAATACATTTGTTGCGACTTTTTCGTGATGTAGATGTGCAATGAATAAGTGGCACCAGATGGATCATATTGTGAATAGATTGGACACAACCTTGGCTCGAGCATTTTTAGCAAGGAAGCAAACTTGTCCTTGATGTACTGTGTGTAATTTTGAAGTATAATTTTGCTTATCTTCTGGTCGGATCAAAAAATAACACACAGTGAAAACAGGTTCAAAAGATGAGGGTAAGACATCAGTAAACTCAACTAGGCATAGATCTGAATCGAAGCTTTCTTTTGAATCAATTTAGAAATGTGACTAGTTGGGCAAATTTAACTAATTTGAATTAGGAAAAGTGGAGAAGTATCAAATTGGGAAACGACTTTGCATCCTGCTATATCAGTTTATCAGTCCCATAAAAGGTTGATACAAACAAGTTAACTTGCCCAATAGGCAAGCATACTTTCTTTACTGTTAAAGTCTAGTTGCTACTTTGACATCGTTAGACCGTCAGTTCCCGCTCCCGTAACATTCCGGACCCCGGTGCAAACATGTCCTAGCACTAGTAAGTAACCTCGTGAAACTATTATTCCTCGCTCCGTAATGAATAGTAAAGCCGCCACACTCACAATAGCCTGCCATTATACTTTGCTTTTTTAAACATTTTTATTCATATTCGACTAGTCGCATTGCAACAAGGTGTCCAATTTGGCCTTGATAAATCACTTAGATAACTGTCCATCCAAAATTGAGGCTTCCTTCCATATCCTCTCCCTGCAGCTGTCCCAGGCGACGTGTTTCAGAAAAATGCCTGTTTCTTACAAAACCACGTTGAAAGAAGACAATGACCAGAATTGGGAGTTAATTCCAGCCAAGGACGGCGTTCCTGCATACTATGAATACCAACAGCGTATTGAAACAGGTCGTTTGGATGATCGTGAATATCGTATTATTCGCCTAGAGAATAACCTTGAGGCCGCGATTGTCCGTGACAAAGACGCCGAATTATCTGCGGCTTGCATGGATATTGCGATTGGAAGTACTAATGATCCGGTGCGTAACGTGACATTCACTGTTTTGCCTATCAGCTTCAGCCGTGTCCATATCATGGATTAATCAATTGATTTTTTTTTTTGCTATCATTATTCGACAACGACACTTACTACTTTATAGGATGACATGCCCGGTACTGCTCATTTTTGCGAGCACTTGATGTTCATGGTCAGTCGCGTTCTTGACCATGAAGTCCATGTCCAACTGCTCTATACTTACTTCCATGTCTATGCTCATAGGGTTCCGAAAAACACAAACAAGAAAACGGATTTCAAGAGGTAAAGTCTTTCCATTAGCTTGAGAAACTATTCTTATCTCGAATCCTTAACAGTACCTGAATTTGAACAGTGGTGTGTACAACGCTTCTACAACGTACTCGAACACGAAATTTTTCTTTGAAGTCGATTCGGACGCACTTCATGGTGCGCTCGAGCTGTTTTCTGAATTCTTCTACTGTCCACTCTTTCACAAAGACTCTGCTCTGCGCGAGATTAAGGCAGTTGATTCCGAATATTCCAAAAATCGCCAAAATGACACATGGAGACTAGCATATCTTGACAATTCCATTGTGCATCCGGGACATCCACTGAAAAAGTTCAGCACTGGGAACAAAGACACATTGTTAGGGAGACTCCTTGCAACACATTTACACCATAAATCCAACAAGAGTGTGGATGATCATACCTCCAGCAGGAATTCCGACAGTGAGATCTCATTGAGAGATGATAGCACTCTGACTCGGACGTCTTCATTTAGACAACATACAAAAGATAGACAACAACCCAGAAGTAGGACTCCTAGTGAGACTTCTGTGAAGACCTCTTCCAGTCGAAACTCCTTTCGAAGCATAGGTTCCTCAATGCGAGCACGTTCAGAGACAAGTCAAAGTGCCAGAAGTGGATCACTGTCCAGAACATCGAGTAGCACACCAAATAGATCAAATCTCCAAGATGACAGGGCGAGGGCAGAGAAAGAAGCAGCAGCAAAGGCAAAGAAGGAAGCAGAAGAAGCAGCTGCTTTGAAGGCAAGAGAGAGATTGATGCAATGGTGGAAGAAGGAGTACTGTGCAGGCAGGATGCGCTTGGCAGTAGTTGGGAGAGGTCTGTCCACCTAACTGTTAGAATTTATCTTGAGTCTGACTGCAAAGCAGATTCCCTTGACGAGCTTACCCGTTCAGTTGTGAACCTCTTCTGGCTAATAAAAAACACTAAACAGGACCCTGCCCCACTTGTCTCTTCAGACCAGCCTTATGGGAAAGAAGAGCTGGGTGTATGTGTTCTGTGTTATACCTAAACTAACCTTCCGCCTGACCATTTTTGCGTGTATTAGAAAATTGTGTATGTCAAAACGATCGAGGAAATGTACCAGATTACTATCACCTTCCCCATTCCCTGGCAGGTTCCTCTTTGGCGTGAAAGTCCAACGTACTTTATTACCCATCTACTCGGTCATGAAGGTCAGGGTTCCCTGCATGCTTACTTGAAGAACAAGGGGTGGATTATAAGCTTAGTCGCTGGTGATGCAATCCCTGGTCGCGGAATAAGCCTATTCAAAGTGTGGATTGCGCTGACTAAAGACGGTTTTAGTAAGGCTTGTCTGCTATTATATTATGTTCTTTTACGATGATGTGCTTTCAGAAAACTATCAAGAAGTCATACTGACATGCTTCAAGTTTATCAACCTATTACACGGATCCACATTTCCAGAGTGGATGCAGAAAGAGCTGAAGATAATTCAAGAGATCTCTTTCCGCTTTGAGGAGAAAGGCCATGCAGTTCCTCATGCTTGTAGCATTGCCACCTCCTCGATGAGGTTTCCAGCACCACGAGCCCTTCTCCTGAGTGGACCTGTTCTCTTCTGGGAATGGGATGAGAAGTCTGTGAGCAATATTTTGAAGGGAATGAATATTGAGAATTGCTATATAGTTGTAGCTGCCAAGGATCACGACCACCTTCATGGAGAGTCGTGGCATAAGGAACGATGGTATGGGGCAGAGTATGTTAAGAAGCCGTTTGGAGCCCAGTTCATTGCCGATGTAAGCCCTTTCCTAATTTAATTATCGAGAGCCTGATTTTGACGGCACGTCATAATTAGGCTCGCAGAGACAACAATATTCCTGAAATCACTTTGCCAGCACAAAATCCATTCCTTCCAGAGAACTTTGAGGTTCATAAAGTACATGTTGAACGACCAAGGAAGCGGCCTGTGCTTATTAAGCGCTCGCCACTGATGGAAGTATGGCACAAGAAGGACGATCAATTTTGGGTCCCTAAGGCTATTGTAATGATCGCAGCACGAACGTAAGTACATTTATACCTAGAAGTTTGCCCTCGGCTTTTCTAATTACGTGACTAGTCCAATTGCTGGATCATCTCCTAATCTCCGAGCTTTGACGTTGACACGACTGTTTGTATATCTTGTAGAAGATGCACTCGCCGAATATTCTTATAACGCAAACGTCGCCAACTTAGGATATAATATCCAAAGTGCTGCCACAGGATTCAAAATAACAATCGGCGGCTTCAATGATAAACTGCATGTTCTCGCTGAGGCAGTCCTTAGAAAAATTAGACACCTCGAGATCCGAAAGGACAGGTTGAAGATTGTAATTGAACAAGTTGTGTTACTTTATATCTTGATTGCTAAGTCTGATAGTTGATATTGGGACATTCTATAAGGCAGAACGTAATTTGAATAATTTAGACTTGCAAGATCCCTCTGACCTTTCAATCCGTTACCTAAACTATCTGGCAGATGACTATGAATTCAGAAAAGAAGAGGAACAAGAAGTGCTGAAAGGTTCTTTTCTTTGGCTGTAGTACATGTGAAGTTGTTGACTGATAAACAAACAGGTATTACCGTTGCAGAACTTTCTAAACATGTGGACGAGTTACTGTCCGAACTGAAATTCATAGTTCTGGTCACTGGCAATCTTGGAAAGGAGGTGAGTGTAGTGCTGAATCGAAAGTTGTATCGCATAACATTTACTGTTGCATAGGATGCCTTCAAAATTGCATCCACTGTAAAGAGAGTGTTGCACTCTAAACCGGTAGCAGAAGACAAGCTTCCAAAACTACGTACACGTCTTCTTCGCAAAGATACGCAGGATGCAACAGGATGCAATTACGTCTGGAAACTACCTGTTCCTAACACAAGAGAAGCTAATTCGAGCATTGCCTATTATTGTCATGTCGGCAATTATTCTGACCCACGTACTCGCGTGACATGTTCTTTGCTCTCTCAAATCTTGGATGAGCCAACATTTGATTTTCTTCGTACGAAAGAACAGCTCGGATACAATGTATATTCTGAGATGGTCGCAGACATTGAGTCCATTGGATGGCGTCTAGTGATCCAGTCTGAAATGGCCTCGGAATATCTCGAATCGCGTATCGAAGCATTCCTGAGGTATATGCGCAAGATAATCCGGGGCATGTTAGTCGAGAAACTCGACGAACATAAGAGATCACTCGGGAGAATATGGACAGCGAAGGTTAAACATGTTCCTCAAGAGACAGCGACGTTCTGGTCTTCAATCGCCAGCGGGTACTACGATTTCGAGAGAAGCGAAACGGACGCAAAACTTCTTCGTGATGTATCGTTGTCAGATGTCCGTACAATGTTTGAGAGGTGCCTCGACCCGTCATCGGAAAAACGTTGCAAACTTTCAGTACATATGCACTCTAAAAGGCCACCCAAATCTCCTGGAGAACCAGCTCCCCCAAATGTCAGCAGACGCACTGCTCAGGAGTTCTTGAGTTTGCTGAAGAAGGAGGGCATCTTTGTTGACGAAAAGGAGTACAACTCAATGTGTGAGGTTGAAGTGACTGTGCCTGAAATGCATGAATACTTGGAGAAGACGAGCTTGAATGACCTACTCAAGAGAAATCATGATAAAGTGAAGGACCTATTCGGAAAGTTGAATTCACTAGTGAAGAAGTATCCAGCCAAGCCCGCGTTAGAAGCTGAACATATACATGATGGTGCTAAGTTTAAACAAGGTCTTCACCTGTCTGATCTTGCGAAACCAGTTGAAAAATTTAAAGTAGAATAGTCGTGGTGGATTTTGACACAATTCAATGATGCGGACACTCAGCATGGCACAATACAGTAACAGACACAAATATTTATCTAATTTATTGGTGATACATTTGTTATCAATACACAATGATTCATCCCACTGTGAGGATTGTTGAATGTACTGTGTATTCAAAGGTGTGGGTGCTCTTGGAATGCTTATTAATAGATACAGAGTCTGGTGATACTTAATATCTGCAACAGTGTGTTGGATAGACTGGTGAATGAGTTCTAGTATTGTGGTTCTCTTGTTTGAATTAGTCATTGGAAACTTAAGATCTCTCTGAGAGCGAGGCACGGTCGGTCCCATAAGGTCTGGCTGAGTACATCTAGTGTATGCACAATATCCGCAACATTGTCTTTCATATCTAGCAAGTCATCGACTGCATCTACAACTTCATAGGTAGTTTAAAATTCGTCTATAGAACTATTCTACCAAGGTTGAAAACTTTCTGAATGCAATGCTGCCAGTGGATGTGGCAAAGCTCGTGATCCGTTCCTATTTGTTACATGAAGTGCTCGACCTACCTACCATATAGCATCAATGTGTGCAGCAGTAGACTTCTATGCACATTATGAGACCGCAGCATTAGCACGAGTTTCAAGTTAGCTAGGCACATCCGTGTCTACCTTTCAGGCTCTGTGGGGAGAATATTCAAATTAATGAGAGTAAAGGCACTTATGAAACAGATGCACGCTCCAATAATTAAGGTCCTTTGCTCTTGAACTGACTATTATTAGTACCATATTATGTGGCGAGTAAGGCAAACGAATAAAGGATAGAAGTGCATTGTTAAACCTAATCAAGATCAAAACGCAACCAAAATCCTTGTAAGTGTGCAACAAATAAGTGGCACCTAGGGCATCTCATTGTGAATAAACTGGATATGCGCCATGATGCTTCTCAGCAAGGAAGCAGACCTATACTCGATATAGCTTGCATAATTTTGAAGTACAAGTTTGCTAAGCACTTGTTTGGATAAAAATAGTGTATATTGCTACTGTATAATGACAATGAGGTAGTAGTAATGGGGGTAAGGCATTAGCAAACTCGATTAGGCAGAGATCTGAATCGAAGCTTTCTTTTGAAACGATTTAGAATGCAACTAGACAGACAAATTTAACTAAGTTAAATTATAAAGAGCAGATAAGTATCAGACTGAGAAACAACTTTGCATTCTCCCACACCAGTTTATCAGTCCTGTAAAACGTTGATGCAAGCAAGATAACTTGCCCACTTGAAAAGCATACTTTCCTTACTGTTAATGTCTAGTCGCTACTTTGACATTGTTAGACCGTCAGTTCCTGCTCCTGTAACATTCCAGTGCAAACGTGCCCTAGCACTAGTAAGTAACCTTGTGAAACAATTTTTTCTCGTTGCCTAATGAATGGTATAGCTGCCACACTCACAATAGCCTGCCATCATACTTTGCTTTCTTAGACATTCTTATTCATATTCGACCAGTCCCGTTGCGACGGGTGTCCAATAACACCAATTTTGCCCTTGCTGAAACACTTTTTAGATAGCTGTCCATCCGCAGTATGAGATTTCTTTCAGTATTGTCTCCCTACAACTGTCTCAGAGCACATACATTAGAAAGATGCCTGTTTCTTACAAGACCACGTTAGAAGAGGACCGTAACGATCCGAAAAATTGGAAGTTAATCCTTACTGAGGATGGTGCTCCTGCATATTATGAATACAGACGGACTATTGTTAAGAGTCCTCAGGACGACCGTGAATACCGCATCATTCGCCTACTAAACCAACTTGAGGCCACCCTTGTTTGCGACAGAACCGCAGACAAGGCCGCCGCTTGCATGGATGTTGCGGTTGGAACTGCAAGCGACCCAGTGAGTCACGTGACACTCCTCTGCTAGAACGTAATGCCATCACTTCCTCGTCAAGCGAATATTACTGTTTTCATCGGTGTTGCTAACTAATGACTAGGAAGACATGCTCGGCACAGCCCATTTCTGCGAACACCTATGGTATATGGTACGCTATAGTATTCCTAGACTTGAGGTTCATTTTTCAACGCGTGTGACCGCTCTACAGGGTACGGAAAAGAATAAACAAAAGGATGCCTTTGATAAGGTAAATGCATTTAATCGGCTTAATTGGACAGTGATTGTTAAATTGCCATGCTTCGTAAATAGTACATGAGTTTGCACAGCGGCATGACCAATGCCTACACATATCACTCCGACACAAAGTATTTCTTTAGCATCAATTCAGAAGACTTTGATGGCGGGCTCAAACTATTTTCTCAACCCTTCTACTGTCCAAGCTTCCATGAAGACTCCATACAGACTGAAGCCAAGACGATTGACTCCGAATATGTTAAATTCCGCCAAACGGATACTTGGAGACTACTGTATATTGAAATCTCCCTTGCCAGTCCGGAACACCCGTTGAGAAAATTCGGCACCGGAAACAAAAGGACGCTGATAGACGGTTTTCTTGAGACGCCCTCCAGCGCAAAATCAGGCGGATCCAGCAGAAGTTCTAAGATAACGAGCAAAGTGACCTCCCAGAGTGTGAGAAAGGGGGTAAGAGAGGCAGCCGCAAAGAAGATCACGGAGGAAGCAGAAGCTGCAGCCGCTCTAGTGGCAAGGGAAAAATTGTTCGAATGGTGGAAGAGAGAGTATAGTGCTTGTAGAATGAGCTTGGCAGTGATTGGAAAAGGTCTGTCCGCTTCTCTGTCAAAGTCGCTCCTGACTCTTATTGTAACCAGAATCGCTCAATGATCTCACCAACATGGTCGTACAGTATTTTACACCAATCAGAAATGACGCTCAGCAAAACCCTACTCCATTTGTCTCTTCAGAGCAACCATTCGGAAAGAGAGAACTATGCGTATGTATGTTCGGTTGTATCTAATTCAATCCTATGCCTGACTACAGTTTTAAATACTAGAAAATCGTGTACGTTAAGACACTTGTGGAAATGCACAGAATAAAAATCGCCATTCCTGTACCGTGGCAGGATAATTACTGGCGTGAACGCCCAGCGGACTTCCTCATCCATCTGCTTGGCCATGAAGGCAGGGGTTCATTATACTCATATCTGAAGATGAAAGGGTGGCTGTTGGAGCTAGTTGCAGAAGTTGCAGACTTTGGACGAGGAATTAATACTATCACGCTGCAGCTAGACCTAACCGAAAACGGATTCAGTAAGTAAAAAATGATTTTATCGCGTGTTCATTGCTAATATAGACCTTCAGAAAACCATAGAATTGTAGTAGTAACATGCTTCAAGTTCATCAACTTCTTGAGAAACTCAAAGTTTCCAGAATGGATGTGGGAAGAACAAAATAAACTGAATGAATTGTCGTTTCGCTTCAAGGAGAAAGGCAGTGCCGTTTCCTATGCATTGGACATTGCTTCCCACATGAAACTTCCCGTTCCCCGTGCTCTAGTCCTAAATGGCAGTATTATGTCCTGGGAGTGGAACGAGAAGCTTGTAAGAGACACACTGAACAAATTAGATATCGAGAATTGCTATGTTATTGTAGCCGCCAAAAAGCATGATCAGACTCACGGACAGAGTTGGCAAACAGAGCCGTGGTATGGAGCAGAGTATATTAAGAAACCTCTTGACGCCAAGCTCATAGCCCATGTAAGTACTTTCCTGGTTATTGGGAATTTGACTCTGAAAACTGCTCATCGTCCTCAGGCGCGCAAGGATAATGACATTAATTCCTTTACATTGCCGGTACCGAATATATTTATTCCAGAGAACTTTGACGTTCATTATATGTACGTTGAACGGCCAAAGAAACGGCCTGACCTTATTAAGAGCACATCGCTAATGCAAGCATGGCACAAGAAAGATGATCAATTCTGGCTCCCACATGCTTTTGTGAATATCTCAGCACGAACGTATGACCAGTCTCATTATTTTATTTAGCTTTCTATTGCGTACTGATTGATTTTGTTTTTACTTGACCAGTCCTGTTGCTGGAGCAAGTTCCCAATGCTTTGTGTTAACTAAAATATTTACAGAGCTTGTAAAGGATGCCCTTACTGAATTTGCATTTGATGCACACATAGCAGGCTTAGATTATGAACTAGAAGCCACCACGCGTGGCTTCACACTAACGGTCAAGGGATACAATGATAAGCTGCACCTTCTCACCAAGGGCGTACTTAGTGAGATTAAAGAGATTACCATTCGAAAAGACAGACTGGAGATTATAGTTGAACGAGTTACGTTATTTGATTTGACTCTACAATTACATTCTGAAAAGAGTTTCCGATCAGGTACGGAAAGAGTTTAAGAAATTAAAGTATGGTGCCCCTTGTGATCTGTCCAAGGGCTACTTATACGACCTTACCGATAATAATGCATTTAACGTGGAAGAGAAACTAGAAGCTTTGGAAGGTTTGCCTTTAGTTTTCACCATCAAAAGAAAATTTACTTAAAGACATGCAGGTATTAATATCCAGAAGCTAAAAAATCATGTGGAGGCGTTACTTTCTAAGCTGTTCTTTGAGGTACTAGTCAGTGGGAACATGCAAAAGCAAGTGAGTAGCGAGTCCTGTCCATCCATGTAAAATATTTCACCAGTCATATAGGATGCTCTAAATCTTGCATCACAAGTAGAAGAGGCATTCCAAAAACCAGTGCAGGCAGACAAGATCCCAAAGAACCGATCTTGCACCCTTAACAAGGGTATGCCTGCTGTATAATGGGCACAATCATCTTAATAACCATTTCAACAGGTTGTAATTATATCTTGGATCTGACTGCACCCATTGCCAATGGGACAAGCTCAAGCTTATGCTACTACTGTCAAGTCGGAAATGTCTCCAACCAACGTACTCGTGTGACGTTTTATCTACTTGCCCAGATCCTCCAAGAACCAACATTCACTATTCTTCGAGTGAATGAACAGCTCGGATACGCATGCTATTCTCGACCAATGAAAGGTGCTGAGTTAGTTGGCTGGCACCTGGTGATACAATCTGAGATGGACACAAAGTATCTTGAATGGCGAGTTGAAAAATTCCTAGAGCATATGCACAAAAGGATTAAGGAAATGTCACGAGAGAAATTCAAGAGTCATAAGAAGTCACTCGGAGACAATTGGAAGGAGAAACTTAAGACGATTAAACAAGAGGGGGAAAGGTTCTGGGACTCTATTGAGGATGGATACCAAGATTTCCAACAAAACGAAAAGGATGCAAAACTTCTTCAGAGCCACGACAAATCCGCAATATCACTGAATGATGTCCTTCAAATGTTTGAACAGTACCTCTATCCGGAATCGCTAAAGCGTTCCAAGCTTTCAATACACATGCATTCTCAAAAGCCACCTAAACCAGCACCTCTGCATGTCAGCATACGTGCTTCAAAGGAATTCCTTGAGGTGTTGCTCAAAGGTGGCATCTCTATAGACAGAGATGAATACTCTTCTACGTGCGAACTCGAGCCATCTATGTCACAATTCCAAAAATTCTTGGAAGAGATGTGTGGAGAGGGAGTCAAGGAGTTATTTGGAAAGCTTGATTCACTTGCAGAGAAGTACCCTGTAGAGATTGCTTTGAAGGGTACAGATATAAAAGACTGTGTTAAGTTCAAACGTGGTCTCTCCCTTTCTAGGTCTGCAACGCCAGTACAGCAATAAGATGTAGAATAATTGAATAAGGCCTTGGAACCCTTTAATGTCATTACATAATATACTAAGATAACTATCTACAGTATTAAATGTTCATTCACAATATAGCAGTTGATTACTGCACTAGTACCCAATTACTAGCTTAAGCTGATTCTCAATCTGACTTTGACCTTCATAAGAAAACGGTGCTTTGGGACTCAATGGCTAAGTGCATATGGCCTGAAAAGGAGATGACGATTAAACATTATGTAATTTCAGCAAAAGAATTGATTTTTGTTTCCGCCGAAGGTTGCTTCTTACTACTGTACTATATGAGCAGGACCAATGTCTTCATCACCTCTTCTCGATATCTGTATTTTTTTTTGAATTCTTCGGCTACGCTATGTTACTGGTCGACGCAGATTTATGTCTGGACCAGCTGGCCTCGTGCAAGGTACATGAGGAACAGTTAAAATCGTTTTACGTGGAATTGAAATCGCCGGACCGGTGAGCTTTATAATTGTGATATGACAACGAGCGTATTCCTCACGTTCCTTTTCGATGCATGTCATAGCTCATTATGTAGGGGTTAAGCAGGCTGAGAGCGATTGTATTTCACAAGCTAACTTGGATGAAAACACAGTTATTGCAACAAACTTGCAGTTCAGGTGCGTGGGCATCTTCCAGCGAGTAGAGTTCTGGCAATCTCTTATTTTTGGTGCTCACTCTTGTGCATTAGGTCTATGGCCTCTTGAGACCAATCCTCACCTAGAGTACCCCAATTTCTTGTAGCAATACTGGTCACAGTTGGATCAGCCGTGCATTTGCATTTTGATTAGTATAGTGGATTCATCGTTGCAATTAGCACCGGAAGTCTCGGAAATGAACGCCGGTTGCCTATCCGCTCAAGTGAGTTGGAATACTTAGCGTCCACAGGTTAGGGGCGCTGATGTCCCTACACTATTTGTGCCATAAAGAAGGGACATCCTGGCAGTTACTTATCAAGATCGACTAGCTTTTGCGTCTTAGCAGAGAATATCAGAAGCACAAACTCAGAGGGCGAAAGTCAACATGAGACAGGGGACGAAGGATGAAAATCCGGCACCGATCGGATGCATGGTCAAAGATTATCAAGGCGAACGCGGATGTTCATGGGGCATGAACTGGAGAGAACACCGGCGCTTCGGTGATTGCAGAAGGAACTCACAATACTATGTAAGATTGACCAACCAAAGAGAAAAGATAGAGTTGAAAGAAGCGCAATTGAAGGCATTGCATGAAAATTTATAACCATAACGACCGGCCTTGTATTTCTTCTTTTCTCCACTTGTGAAACGCTCGCAGATGGGTGAGAAGTAGAGAAGTAGAGAAGTGCTGTGGAGGTTCTTGTACCTCTAATAGACGGCATTCGACGGACATTACGAAGATTGGGTGTACACATGTTAATGGCGGATGAATTACACGGTTTCCAGGAGTTTATGCGACCGTTTGATCAGCTGCGGTCCAGTAAAGACGAGATTGGCCAAAGACGTCAGAGAGTCGAGTTTCTGTGTGCATGGGCAGATGGAAGTTGAGATAGCAGATCAGCTGATGTGTGTCTTCTGGACACACGTGGATATCATACATTGTTATAGCGAAAAGAACTCTTGCCACGTTCCACGTTAGCTTACAGAACTCAAGCACGATGTGCAGGATTCCAAGACTCAGAGCTTCGTCTTGAAGCCAGAGAACAAGAGATACAACGACAAGTTTGTACAATGTACATCCGCGGCAAGGAACGTGTTTCTCACGTAAGCGGGTCACCGGTCCTCCGAAACGAATTGGAGAAGCCGAAAGAGACCAGCTGGCGTATCTGTCATTCAATAGCACCGACGAAGCATTACGAAGGATTTTCTTCCCACTTCTCATGGCTTAGACTATCCACCATCTGAATTGGCCTTGTCTGTACCGTTGTCTTCGTCTTCGAGTTTCATCATACTCCAGCTTCTGATTAATAAGACGTTCGCCGCGCTTCGAGTTCTACTGAAAGAACATTTTTTACCGTTCAAAGTTAACAGATATGAAGCCTCGAGGAGCTCATAGAAGGGCTCATGAATGTAGTTTGTGACGCAGGAATAGTTCGAATGAAATTCGCGATGCACGGCGACTCAGACTTCGCCAAGAGCATTTTTTCATTTGACTTAATTTGCAAACCACCTGCTTTGCCTTCGCGGTTCTCGACCTATTCGTAGAACACTCAAGTTGTCGTGTATAGTAAAGTAGAACACACACTAATCTTTTACATTCATCTAATATCAAATTCAAGATCTTGTCCCTTCACGTCATCTGAGACGCCCGCTAGCTAAAGTGCAGGGTTCGAATTCCTTACGCATGGCATCGTTCGCATCAGAAAGCGCAGAAGAGACGACAGTGTATACAGTTGAGTGGGTTGAAAGCCTAACTTATCTGCGAAAACATAGTTGGGCCTTTGAGGCGCTGGCGTCGGACGTCGGTGTAGTTAATTAGTTAGGATGCACTTGACAGAAAAGTCGAAAAAGAAAAATAAAGGCGGAGGTATAAAGTGAATTAGGCACAAGTTTCAGGTACGGAAGTTGGTGTATGTTTGCTTTCCCCTTTGAAATCTTGCACATCTAGGGTAGATGAGGCAAGTGACAGCGGCGGTCATAAGTTTGCGCTATGTTCTTGAACGCCGGCTTAATGAGAGAGACAAAGGAAATTATTTGATTAATCAATATTTGTTATGTCTTAGATCAATATCATATCTGTTGTGTGTTAAGTTATGATATGTGAGGTCGGTGTTGCTCATTTGGGTTGTGTGAACACTGCGGAGGTAAGTGAGTGTGAGCATCTCATCAAAATTTCATGCGAGACGTCCCTAAACATGTGTTCGAATTGATCAATAATAATGTACCATTGTGGTAACAGGATATCAATCGAAATCGCACAATCATGCTTTAGTCAAGCACAGCCTGTTTGATAACCGCAAGAGTGCTTAAGAAGCATCACGTCCAGATCGAAAAATGTTCGCATTCTATGTATTTCCGCCTTAAAGTAAAGGCACTTGGGCAAATCGAGCTTGGCGATGGATGCTAGGCTCTAAAGCAGGACTGGAGCGACATGAAGTCTTGCTTGCACGTTTGAACGGGAGAAATCTGTTATATTTGCCATATTTCAAAATAAAGCAAGGAGCAGGATCAGCACGCCCAATGTCGCCTATTCCACTAATATGAAAAGCATCCGCTAAGTAGTGTAGGACCTACCCACGGAATTACAGGAAACCAAGACATGAATTTCGCAGTTACCTAGGAACATCTTGTTTCCTTCACGATCGCGCGCAGGCGGAAGAAAGACTTACAGCGCACAGGACTACGGCGATCGAGAATCAAGACACATATGATATGATATATCACCCGATACGCCACGAAGAATATGCGCGAAACATAGAAGTTAGTTAACTGTATATCTGTTGGAGTCGCTTTGCCAGTGAAAAAGCGATGATCTGAGAATACCGAGTCTTCTTTTCTTTTTCCCGTATTGCTGGAGTGTAAATTCCGCGGTGAACGATATGGTACGGATAATCTTGCCGTCGCCGTTCTCTCGCCTCCGGATGTGTCATGCGTCGGGAGTAAGAGGAGAAGTCAGAGCTTCGCGAACCAGAAACTTGAGACAATATCTCTAGCAGCAGCAGTATGTTATCATCCGAATGTTTTGCAGAGGTTAACTAAAACATCTTGTCAGTCCTCATAGAGTTGCACGTTTGAGTTTCGCGTAGTCAAGCCTACATAAGTCCCCAGCTGACTAATCGACAACTTCGGATCTTCGCACCCTCCCCCGCATTTCCGACGGGCGAAGATCATATCACGGCCGCAGTAGACCCAGATTCGGAAACACCGCACAGGACCGAGATCGAAGGACGCTCGTCGTTTGAATTGAACAAGCGGGACAAGGGAAGTCAATGTACTAATGTAAATGTAGGGTTATATGATTATGAATTTATGACAGCCGCGACCTCCGAGTCGACAACGAACGTTTTCGATTGGCGACCCGACGGCGATTCCTTGCCTTCAAGTTTCTTTCTTTCTGCCGGAGGACGCTGGTCTGATAGAGCGATGCTGGGACACGGAGAGTCGGAGACGAGTGCGACTCGGAGTCTCTCGCGAGGTGGGTAAGGTACGCGAGAAAGGGAAGGAAGGTTGTGGGTATCGATAACTTTGTTGTTAAGCGTCAACGTAATATGTAGCCTTCGCAGTTTGACATTCCTCCGCGCCTTTCAGCGGAGAACCGTTGGATTCGGAGAATCCCGAGTGTTAAAGTCGTGAGAAGAATATTGAATAATATTATCGTTAATTTGGTGGCTTAGTGTTTGTTCATTATGACATAAGTAGTCCGCATACATCAAGACATGTACAGTCTAGTGGACGTTGTACAGATCGAAACAGGGGCTGGAGCAGTGAAATGGCCGTCACAAGTACGATATGGAAAGGGGGGGCGGAGGCGGAGGAACGGATTTACAAGGAGATTGAGGAATTACGAATTAAGATTGTAGAATGAAGGAAATAATCAAGGCCGTAATCCCTCACAGAATAAGTGGCGCTCAACACACTGGATTCACTCGCACAATCATCCCGCAAAGAAGTAGACTACACAGCAGTACTTTGAAGGCGAGGAGAAAGGGCTGTACTACACACTGCACACCAGAAGGATGGCGAACAAGGCAAAGCATGTCTTATCAAAAAGACATGAACAGACCTGTAAGTCGGCGGAAATATCATTGCGCAGGTCCCCTTGTGCTGTACATGGCACAGCATCGCGCTGATTGCATTGGTGGATCTATTGGAAGCGATCTTCTCATGGTGCTACTACTTAACTTGAGTAGAATACATCGTACTCCGGGGATCTCATTTCCGAGTCGCTGCTCCAAGTATCAATATCTATGTAGACTTAGCTACCTTCAATACGTAAGTCGTCTAGGCATTACTTTATTGAAACTTCTGGCTGTCTATTCCAGCTTTGTACTTATTTATTTACTTATTGGTCTAGGGGATTCAATGCCAGCGATAAGTCGTTGTATTTTGGACGATTTGATTTGATTATTGTCGGTAGGGGAATGCCAAAGGGATGTAAAATGCTGAAAGGGTTGAGAAAATCATCAATAGTACATATAAATTAGTTGCTATTTGTAGTGTAGAATGTCACTACTTGAAACCGGAGTAGAGAGTATTGAATACCGATTATTGGCACCGATTTCGGGGAGTAGGAGAGGGGACCGGCGGAAACAAAATAGTATTCAGAGTCATTCAGAGTACGGAATTTGGTATCATACTGCTTACTAGAAACATGGACTACGACGAAGAAGCGAAATGAAATGTCAAAAACAAGGTAGTAGATGTGTCTTGATCATGTCGTGTGTAGTCAGGAAAGAATGTCATGTTCGGCGCTTTACTACTGTAGCTTGAAACATTGAAACACTGCTAAGTACAGGGACGAGGAAAGGGAGGGGATAGGAAGACGAAAGCATGGCGAAGTGCGAGACGAATACCTGGTAGTGGTAGAATAGGACAGTCATGCTCTACTCAATACATACATTGTATGCAGAACGTGTAGAATCCAGACTGATGGCGAAGTATGTGGATCGACTTGAGTGCGTCACTGGTCAATCTTCTCCCGTGTGGCTGCTCTAGGGTCCAGACCACGCCCTCCCTAGGTTCTCCAGATTCGTCCCCTCTCTCCAACTCCTCCCGCCGGAATCCCTGTAACTTGGGGAACGTTCTACGAGAATCTGTAACTAATCTCGGTCGAAAATGGAAGAGTTAGAGGATCGGAGGACAAAGTGCGTACAGTGCTAGCGGTTGAGTAGCGAGTTAGTGCGCGCAAGCTGACAGGTTTCGCAGTTAAGTTCGTTCGTTTGTTTTTAGGTTATGTACGGTGTTACCACAAGGAAACGAGGGAGGATGTGGAGTACCATGTTTTAGAGCTTAAATCCCTCTTGAGGAAATGAGGAGGAGATAGGATATTGGAGAAGTGAGGAAGTGGAAGGGGTGAGGGATGTTAGTTTAGTTGTAATAGTACAGTACCACAAGGTTGAAGGTTGACGTTGGGCTGCTATTCCTTTTATCGTTGATTGAGGTGGTAGAGAGAAGTTGAGACTCGGTCCGAGAATGCGAGTATCCAACACCCCCTCCCCCTCGTCTCCTTCCTGCCCCACCCGTACGCGTGTAGGTCTAGACGTAAAAAGCACATTGTGTTTATACAAAGTGTCATCAACCAGGTGCGCCTCGTGGAGGACTTTAAGTGAAGGCTTACTCGATATGGTAGTTTACTATGTTAGATCATTGTATTATGGCAGGGGGGTGATCGGTCGATCTGATAAGGTGTTTGATCGTGTATCTTACTTGGTTGGCTTGAGTCGATGAAGGGGATGGGGTGAATGTGTGCACGTAGTATCTTTGGACTGAGGTAGGCACTAATTGCTAGACTGACACGATGCAAAGAGAAAAGGAGGGTCATCCTAGAATTGAATTGAATTGACCTGAACGATGCTGAGTTGAGTTGAGTTGAGTAGAGAGAGGCTTTACTCTCAACGTCCTTCACCACTCGGAGAAACGCGAAGTATGAAACACGTACGTCGTACGAGGGAAGGGGTAGAAAGGGTAGATGTTATCATGAAACAAATAACCAAACTGTTAGACTCCCAAGGTCTCGAAGGAAATGGAGTAATGGAATACGGCGGGAGGAGACAAGCGAGACCGGAATGAACGTGTGAAGTTGTTAGATAAGTTGGGAGAAAGGAGGAGAGGTCCGGGCTTACCCAATTCCGAGATTATTGGTTGCACGATTTAAAGATATTTTAGATTAGTCTGGGCTGAACGCCTTGTTTTGAATTCAATTGAATTGATTGAGAGCACAAGGGAAAAGCGCCCAAGTTTTTTAGGATCCAGCGAGTAAGACACTGTTTCTACGCTAACGTCAGAGGTTTTTATGTGACCCTTGAGCTTGAAGTTTTTGAGTAACGCCGTGCCTATCCTGCCCTTCAGTTTCTCGATCGCTCACCGGCGGTAGGAGGTAGGAGGAGGTAACAGAGTAGCGCCGTCGATACCAGTACTAACACTAACACAAAAATAAAGTAAATCGATTTACGCCTTGTTGTCGTATTTTACACAACTTGTTATGTAAGAGAATAGGCGCTAGTTAGCGTGCAGCACGGTGTTGGTGTGGTGTGGAGTGTGTAGAGCGCGAACCGCAAGCCGCGAGGGTGAAGTGACCAGCAGATCGGCGGATGATAAACGCATGGCTTATGGAGGTGTTTGTACTACAGCTACTAGTCAGAGTGCTAGTGCAGCACGTTGAGAGACGCGTGGAACGCCACGACGAGCGATGGTGGGCGATCGCAGCAAGGATTCAAGGAAGTTGGGCGAATATAAGATTCTGGTACTGGACGCTGAGAGTCATCCAGCTTCTCGTCAGTCTCGTGCTCTGGCCCACACAACGCGCGCCCATAACGGAATCAAACCAAATAGTCCAAAATAACGGGGGTGAACCGGGGTCGGCGATTCGGATTAGATACAGACAGAAGAGACCTCGAGCACCCTAAGAACTGCGAGGGGGTGTTTAATAACTGGTTCCGTGGCTGTCCTTAGATATTATAGGACCCCGAGAAGAGGTGGAATATATAACTAATAGTGTGTTCTTTGTATTTCCCTTCGATCCCCCTCTTATCGCCTCCAGTCTCTCTTCCTGCTCATCGTGCTCATAACTATACCGCTGCGTCGACGGCGGTGAACAGACTCACATTCACTTCACGCACACCTATCTCAGAGAGAGAAGATTGAAGAAGATGGTCGGAGCAGTGCGTCCGTTGAAGAGGCGCGCAAGCAGCAATTGCACAGCAGCAGCGGTAGAGAGCCAGAGCCAGAGCAGCGTGGCCGAAGATCACTGTGAGTTCCCATCTCACTCTCTCTTCCTCATTTTTTTCTTCTAACGCATACAACGAACAGCATTCCAGCTCACCTTCGCCTCTCCCTCCTCCGCTCCCTCCGATCTTCCCACCACCACTCTCCCGACCCAAGGCGCACTCGCTCTCCAACCCACAATCAGCTTCGCGCCCAACATCACTCCCGGAACCTACACTGCTCCTCCACCCTCAGACGACGACCTACTCAATGGACTCGTCGACGGCGCCGATGGCTGCGAATCAACTCGAACGACTCTATTCCCCGATGCTAGCGGTAATGATACGTCTTCGTTGACGAACCATCACCACCAGCCGGCTGCGAAGCGTCGGCGGAAAAATAACAACTCCCCTGCTTCTTCCGCGCCCTCTCCTACCAAACCATCGGCCAAGAAATCCTCAGCCAAGTCCTCCTCTCCCTCATCCAAACCTGGCTCTCCCGAACCTTCATCGAAATCCGATTCAAGTAGTACCACTGACGCACCAGCGCATATACCCCGCCCTCCCAACGCCTTTATCCTCTTCCGATCCTCTTTCATACGTTCGCAGCACGTCAGCGCCGAGACGGAAGGTAACCATGGCACGCTCTCCAAGATCGTTGGTATGCTCTGGCATAATTTATCCTATGAGGAACGTCAGGTTTGGCAGGCCAAGGCAAGGAGAGCGTATGCGGAGCATAAGAGGATGTACCCTGGGTATAGCTTCCGGCCGGTGAAAGACAAAAATGCGGCGTCGTCGAAGGACTCGACGAACTCGAATGCGTCAAAGCTGGAACGTGAAAGTACGCCGGCGTCGACGCCCGATGCTAACGCGGCGCCGCCGCCGAAGAGGAAGACGCGCACCGTCGGCCCGCGTGATTTGCAGCGCTGCGAACACATCGCTGCCCTCCTCGCGCGTGGACTCAAGGGTGCCGAACTTGACGCTGCGATGAAGGAGTTCGACGCAGCCCGTGCTCCTCAGACCTTTACTCCTCGATTCGAGGTACCTCTTACTGCTCAAGCATACGCCCCGCAGAAAGATAAGGACTCGAAGAAGGAGGCTAAGAAGGATGTTGAGGCAATCAAGACTGAAAAGGACGAGCAGGAAGTCATCACCGAAAGGAGAGAGAAAACCGTCGAACCAACGATGCAGCCCCCTCAATCCGTACCAGAATCCGATGCTCAGACTCAAAATCAACAACCACCTGCTGCACTCGCCATGCTCCGACCCAGACGCGTTCGACGATCAAGCTCGGCTCCCCTGCTTGACGCAGGCATGCCCATATCAGCTCCTCAACCCACTTACCCTTCCTCACACTCACATTTCTACCATCCTCAACCACAATCGCAACAATCCTTCCAGTTTGGTCAACATCAGGAACACGACTTCCAGTTCGGGCAGGACGCGACCCAGCATCACCAGGCGTACGCGCAGTCTTCGTTCACTTACGTGCAGACTACGCACCTTCAAGAAGGCATTGCTCTTCGAAAGCGCAGTGCCTCGTCTGACGCACATCTCCGTCGACCGTCATATTCCTTCTCCCAACCTGTTGCCCATCCGCACCTCGCCTCTCTATTTCCCACCCCGATCCCTCAAGTGCATGACCCGCAGCCGTTCATGCAAGCCTACAGTGCAGCCCATCCACACCTTCAGCATATGCAAGCGCAAATGCAGGCTCAGGCACGCTTGAACGGACAACAGGAGAGCCAGACTCCGGACTTGGGACTTGGCCTCGAGTTCGATCAGTCTGGATCACAGGTTAGCTACGATGCTGGTTATGGACAGCAGTCGGAAAGTGGTGGGCTGTCGAGACAGTCGACTTTGACAGACATGTCTAGTGAAGTTGTAAGTGTCTTTACGTTTTGATTGAAGATGAGTAAAAGTCTGATTCGTTCGTAAAGGATTTCACTGGTTTTTCGTTCTCGCAGCCAGATGGACGAGATGCACATATCCCACTTTCCGCGCATCCGACGAACCCTAATCCGTTCGAGACGGCACCTTCGCTCTCCGCTGCTCCCTCAGGTGCAAGTGTCGAGGAGATGGAGTACAATTACGCAGATATGCCTGGATTGGTCGACGCTCCTCTATACCAAAATTACTATCAGCCACAGCAACATCAGCAGCAGACTACTTCTGCGAGAACGCACAATCACCCGCAGCTTGAGATTCAGACGTCGTGGTCCGCAGAGGACTTTACGTTCGATCATCAGGCACCAAGTAGTGCAGTGACTGCGCCTCCATCGTCGGCTGCTGAGGTTGAGAGCGTGCCGCCGAGTGCTGTGAGTGGGGCATTTGACTTCCCGCCGCCAAGCTCGTCGAGTGGGCTTGAGATGGAGATGGAGATGGATGGGGCTTCTTACCTCAGTCCTGAGTCCTCGCAGAGTACGAGCGGAGGTGCGAGGACGCCGATCGATGATGCGTTCGCTTCGTGGGATCCTACCTCTCCATGTTCGTCCACCGTTGGTGTGTCGTCACCCATAACCAACTTCGAAGGCTGCAGTAGCAGCTCGACGAAGAACAGCACCAATGCAGTGTTTGCGAGTGCGTTACAAGCGGGCTTCCAGGCGTTCTTTGCGGAGGCTAAGAAGATGGGAGGGGGAGTGTTTGCTGATGAGGGGGCATTATATGAGCAGTTTACGAGGGGGTTGTGGAATGGGATGAGTGGGATGGGAGTTGGAGGGATGTACAGTGGTGAGCCTGCGACGACGATGTAAGCGAGCGAGGGTCATGTGACCTGAGGATGGGCTATTGTCCTCGAGTCACGACGATTTATTTTATCAACTGAGTCCTGACGTCCTCGCTAATCTCTGGTTTGGCTCTATTATTCCTTTACGACATTTTGCGCACGGCCGCAACCTCTACGAGCTCCTCCGAGTAGATGCGACGATCGGATTGTTAGTTAGGACCTTGGACCTTGCGGATCATACACGCTTTCGCACGACGAAAAACGACAATGCCGACGATACGAAAATCTTCATAATGACATTTGAATCAGCATCGAGACTTCTTCGAATTCGGTGCAAACGTCCTTTCGCGGATGCTGGATTCTATTTGATGGATGGATAAGCTTCAGTTCGCACTTACAAGGACATGGGTTTGTTCCGATCCAGGGCGCAGAACTGTGTGCTCTTTGCGTCCGTACACATTGCTTCTGGGACGGGCCTCCTACATTGGACTGGTGTTGTTCTACTTCACCGACCTTGCTGATTCTCAAACTCACATACTCGTGTCTCTCATCTCATCTCATTCTTTCATATCAAGACATCGTTTATACGCACATGCAATTTCCTCCGTTCTATCTCCTCTCTGCTCCCTTGGTCAACTTACTGTATAATCGTCTCCGCCTGCACGACGCCGAAGCGGAACGCTCCTCCTCTTCTTTCCTTTTCTTTGACCTCGACCTTGAGCTATAATTGGGTTTCCTCACCTTGTCCCTGACGACCTCGCCGTTCGGATGTCCCTACGGGAGATAGGTTTACTCCTCTCCTTGTCTTGATTCCGCATCTGATCGACATGTTCACACCCCTTCCTCTCTTCCTCGGTCTCTCTTCTTCCCACTCGAACTTAACCTTCTCTCCTCTCCTTGCATCTCAACTCCTCTCTTCCTTGTAATAAGTCTTGACTCTTCGACCTTCAACCTGACCTTTGTTCGCTGCCCATCGATTGCGGGCTCGCGGCCGGTTCCGCCACACTTTACCCCTTCTTTACCATTTTTATTCATTACAACTTATTGATTGTCTATTGATTAATTTGCATTACTCACCGAGAAATTTATTTTGTATCTGTAGATATTGTGACTTTGGAATTTGTTTGGTGGATTTTTTTTTTTGTTTAGTTTTATTCATTTCTTATTTCTCATCGCTCGATTTATTACTTTTTACCTTTTCATTCTCGTTCGTGACAAAACTCGGACGACGATTTATAACACCTTCTCTTATCCTTTACCTTTATTCTCTCTCAAATTATAACACACTGTGACACAGCTGAAGCATTTTATACAAGGAAATACGTAGTTTTTTTTCTTTTCTTTTTCTCGTTTTCTTTATCCTTGCAATATCATACGATATACCATCGTAGTTTTCTCAATCATGTATTTGGAGGCTGTATGAGGAAAATGTGAATGTACTTGTACGGCTTGAACTGAGCGTGTTTGACTCTGAAATTAACTTAGATTTGTAACTATTCAGACTACAGAATACAATGTGAATAGAAAGTATGATAGCAAGGACGCACGTTCGATGATAAGCCAAACAATAAGTAACTATGTAGATAATAGAATTGAGACAGGAGTACAATGTTAATCTCGATTGAACTTGCTTTGACTCTTTGAACTTGCTTGAGAGAGTATTTCTTGTTCTCCCTTTTTGGGTTGATACTGTAGAACTCGGGATGAGTCGGAAGAGAATGGGATAGGTATAGCTGGGCGGTCCATATTGTGTGGAATTTGTTTTTTGGCTGGGTTTTGATTCTTTAGAGAAGTAGAGAAATAGAACTGGAACTGGCATTACTGACTTGTACAAAATATTCATTAATAGTATTTGATTAAGATTATTCAACTACTTGGCTTATATATATATATATTATTTGTAGTGTTCTGCTACTTTGAACCTGCTTGAGAGTGTAATAGTATTTGACTATTTGTTGCTCTCTCGTTTGGGGTTACTGCAGCAGTTCTTGGGACGAGTACAAGGACGCTTGGAACGGGTGTGGCTGTATGGTTCTACATTCTGGACTGGATTGGATTGAGATTTGGAGCACTGATTTGTTTGTTCAAAAGACTATTTGGAGAGAATAACTGTTGATTTGAAAGTGTATTGTTTTGTAGAATTTGTTTTGGACTGGTGTTGGTTCTTTGGAAAGAAAGAGAAAAATGCGGCAAGGCCCTGACTTACTAGCCCTGACTTACTAAAAAATCTCAGGGTAGGTTTATTGTAGCTGTATAACAAGAGGACAAGTAAAGGTACAGTACATGCAATGTATTCGTATGAGGCACATACTATGCTAGCTTAACTAAACATAAACGGCTAGGTTTGGTCAACTACTCTGTCTCGTCCTGTTCATCAGGTTCTATTCTGTAAACACGGTGTTTTAGTAGATAATTCACTCTTGAATCTAGATGCGTCCTGTTGACTGTGAAAATATTATTGTAAAGTAATGGATGTGTTAAGTCACCGCACCCCCTCTTTTCCTCGAGTCCACTAGCAGTTCATTTCCGGTTCACCGTTCAATTATACACATGTGCGACAGGGCGCCTAGTGAGGGGAGCAGGGGTGTAAGTACTTAATTTAGCTTGGATAGTGACGGCGAGGCATTTTTCTCTGTTGAAGTTAGAGAGCTAAAGAATTACTGCCCTTGTCATTAACTTTGATCACTTGACATATGTGTAGAAATCCGGGGGATGGAAGTTCAACACGTGTATATTTTATCTTTACCTCGTGTGCTTGATTCTCGCAGTTCTTACGCTTGTAAAGCGTCCCGATGATAATCGATGGCTAGAACGACTACCATGCCCTGCGCGAAACATTTAATTAATAAAAATGAGAGGGACTTTTAGATTGGAAGATGCTGTGATTAGGATTTTATTTGCCATGTCCGTGCGTGCATACATTCGTGTATTAAAATTCGATTCTGTGGATTTAGTGAGCACAGAAATTTTCATAATTACGGAAATACACAGGATAGAAGAGAGGAAGAAGAAGAGATGGAAGAAAAAGGTGATATCATTTTTCTTCACCTGAATGGAATTGAGATTCGTTTGGTTGCCGCCTCGTGCAGGCAAAGCTTATATTGCCTGACTTTAAGATATTTCGTTATTTGACAACTTTCCCTTTGCGAGCATTACATCGCACCAGCTGAATTTCGAATTTCTTCCAGGGACGTTAGGGGAGCGGCTCGGCACGGACGGTGAGTTTGCCCTAGTGTGTAGTCGAGCAAGACACGATTACGTTTTCTCGGAGGAATAAAAAAAAGGAAAAATGAGTGGTAGAAGGGACGTTTGTGGGAAGCCCGTGTTGACCGACGGCCCGCTCGACATTAGGCTCATCACCGCTTGTTTGTTGGCTTTCTCGTTTTTCTAGCATTTTCTTCTTTGCAAGTCGACGCAAAGAACAAGCCAACCTAGCGGGTATGTGGCTGTAAATGACATAAGCAGCCGGAAGCAGTCAGTACGAACCCAGATTGGAGAATGAGATTCGATTTGCGGACAGATGATGGACCCGTTGATCTGGGGTCCAGCCAGGGCACCATCAAAATTGCTTAATTTGATGTCAGTTCGTACTATCTAAGCGCCGACGCCGACCCGGACTTACCGAGGTTTACTTTTTGCTGATGATCTATATGAGAATTATGTAATATTTAGTAGTTTTCTTAGCCTCGAGGCAGACCTCGAGGTGATTTATGCATTAATGCAATGCACTTGAGCATTGGATACATTGGGTAGTTCGGATCGATCGACAGTGAGGGCGGGGTTGTCTGGCGGCGGAGACATGGCTAGTTCGGCGGACAGGTAGAAGTACTTAAAAATTAAGCTTGTTGTCAAGTTGTTGAAGATGACGGAAAGTGAATGACCGGGACTACGGGAGTACGGGCTTTTCGCTTGATGTTGTTCCAGTGCCAGCGGAGGACAGACAGGAGAGATGGATGGGATATTGGTGACCGCAGATTTGGCTTGGTCTGTATGAACGTCCGACGGCGCGGCATTCTTCTCCCGTACTTACCGTACAGTGGCGGCGGTCGGAGAGATTTGTGTTTGTCCTTGCTGATAGTCTTCGAGTCTTCGACTCGTTTCGCTGGGCACAGTTCAAGCATGATGTAATCCGTCTCTCTCGCTACGCGATACGGCGCACAGCGCGGAATTCTGATTGCTTGATCACACACTCGCTCGTTTCTCGTTCGTTCTGCGGCAAACAAAAGACCAATGAGAAATGTGTGCTGAGTAGACCGTCCTCGGGAGTTTTGCTTCCCCGATCGCAAGGGGAATGCGAGAGTGCGAATGCAAGAGAAGCTGTGGATTATAACTTGGGATATCCCGTATACGACTTCTAGCTCACGGCTGACCCGCGTAAACGTGAAAATTGTATGCTTCAGCATTTAGTCAACGATCGTCAAGGATCATCGCCTCATCGCGAGTAGCCAGTCTAAAGAACAGGAGAACTGGGCAATACGGCACGGGAATGTGCAAGTCCCCGACGTTCATGGATTCCTTTTGATACATTGTGTTCAGCAGAATTGTGGGATTCCATGCACGCACGCGGGTACAAACTCTAATCCTCGTCATGAGATTAACATAAACAACAAGCACAAACAACAAATACCAAATTAACACTTGTGGGTGCGCGTTGTTCTTCGGCGCCATTAATATTAATACAAGTTTACACGTCGCCATTTAAACAAACGGATATAGGAATATAACGAACGAGTTCTCTTCGTCATTACCACTGACTACCGACTACCAACTAGTTTTTTCTTCTATTTACTTCTATTTCCCAAGTTGATCTATATCAGCGCGCTATGCAGACTACTAGCGACGAGAAGATTTATATCATTACTATCAGCCCCGCTCAGAATCCTATATACGTACCTTAAGTCCGCTGTGAAATTTGAAATCTAGACAAGTCATGCGTTGCATATGCTATCGTTACGATAGAGTATGAATGACTTAATATAGCACTGAGCGTCCCCCTTCCCTGCATAAGGTGAAGAGGGCAAAGGGTTACTGGAAGTGAAGACTGAAGATGAAGATAGACACAGCCATTTCATCTAGTTGGTCGGGGAATACCTACCAGACTGGGCGAAGACAATAAGACGAGCTGACGAGCTCCAGAGAGCTTCGAAGTTCGATCTTCGTTTCGAACTCATGCGCGAGCTAATAACTGGTAATTGAATGCGTTATTGGGGTTCTTGGATTCTCCGCTCGCCTTGCCTTGGAGTTGAATGCAAACAATCCAGCATTCTTCATATCTATCAAGGGCTCCACCGCGAATCGAGAAGATGGGTTCGCTGGCTGTTGGTCGTACACAAGGCGGACCTAGGTGAACCTTCAAACGACGCGCTAGTGAAGCTCTAGTTCAACGAAGCTCGAGGACGATCCGGATCAGCACGGTATAACTCTCTTACTCTTGTCTACTTGTCTTGTTGTTTTAGCACTTAGCTCTCATTGCGTGCCGTCTCTGCAGTTACCAGGGGCAATACTGTAGTCTCAGATGGAGTGGGATGAAGTCGGAGTGGGGAGCTCAGAAGCCCGGATGAGAAGCTCGAGAAGACAAGGGGACAAGAAGGGGAAAAAGGCAGAGAGAGGAGAAAAGAAGCGGCGTTTTCAAAACGCCATGGCCTATGGCGCCCCTTGCACTATGGGTGATTAGATAATCCGGGAGCTTAAGTTGTCCTTTTTTTCTGCAAAAAAAAAGCCAATGATTCTCGTGGTGCTTCCATTCTCGCGAAGTGTTGCTTCTTTTGGGCCGTGTGGGAATGTACTAGGATATCTTCTCAACATGGCAATATACCTGTGTGTCATACTGCGTGAATAACTTCAATGTGGGAATGAGATTCGACAGATATGGAGAAGGAAAGGTGCTCTTTTGAGAAAGAGGACTATCGGTGCTCAGAGATGCTATCTATCTAGTACTAGTATCCACGCTTCGATTCTACCATAGTGCAAGTAGAAATAAAATATCCTTCCGTCGTAGGTGACAATGAAGTTACTCACCGCAGGTCCTGCGGGAAGGCCCTTCCATCGCTACTAGAATTCCTCAATGATTACTTTGTTCCATGTAACATCGGATTGCACTTTCAAGGCTAGTCGTCAAGCCAAACATGTAAATCGCCTTAAGCTTCCTTTGATAACAGTATTGCAGCAAGATTAACAAATGCATGGAGTTTATAGTTCATCCGCATGAATATAGAGAATATCCCGAGTATCCGTTTTACAATAGTAATACAGTTTAAACTAAGAGAACTAGTAGGTAGTTTGGGTGTCAGGCGCATTCACACCGCTAAGCAGTGAAGTGGCGAATCCTCCTGGAAGTCCGACAGTTCCGTTCATTCGTTAGTGATACCTATACTCACATGCCCTGTAAGACTCCGGGAGTTTTTGTAAGAGGAATTAGATGTGTAAGAAAGTTAAGAAAGGCCTTGTAAATTGCTTCCATGTCTTGCTCGAGTTCATGTCCGTTTAATTTGGTCAAGTTATTGCAATGTCCTGACACCCTGCTCATTGAGCTATCTTGAAATGAGCCACTTACGCACACTCGGATGCTGTATATACTCATAGACAATTGTATGCACATCGATCGTCGGTCTTCGTAGATCATTACACACCGTCACTGACTTCATACCACACACTCCACCCACATTAAGAATAGAAAGCGCGGGACTCTCGTACTGGCATGTACTGAATCTAGGAATCTCCGTGGTATAAGTGGAAAATAATTGCAAGGGTGAGCGGGGGACTCGGACAGAACGCAAAACCATTCTTAGACTTAGACTGGACCTCGGGATCTCCCCTCCACTTTGTGGCTTTTCCTTGCTCCGAGGGTATGCCATGCGATGGAGCCGGCCTCCGGTGTGGCGTGGCATAATGTTGATACAAGGTCGTTACGATGGCTGGGCTGGGATTATTTGTGGCTTGCACACATGTTTGGGAAAGGTCTACCCTATAGCGTGTTTTCTACTTGATCACGGCCAATGTTTCCTAGTACTGCAGCGCTGCATGCTTTACCCTGGGCAATCTAAAATTCAATGAACAGCTGAAAGTGCATAACGTTAATACTGTAAATGAAAATACCATCTGGTTCCAGTGTTAAATAAGATACCATTGTTGGAGAGAGAAAGCAGAAAGCAACAGGAGCGGAAAACGTAGCATAATTGTAAGAGAAAAAAAAGTACGAATATGCGTAATTCGAATATCACAAATGTAAGAAAGAAAAAGAAAGAAAGGGGAATAAAGAATAAAAGAAAAAACAGATTAATACAATACTTTCACCTCCCACGTGCGAGACTGGATACTATCGTCTAATACTACCAGTATCCGGCTTTGCTGGGTCCCATTGAGTCCACACACTCATACGAATGAACATATAAGCTCAGTCCTCATCTTCGAATCGTAGCACTTGCGCGTCCTCATCGACAGGGACGTGTCTGTACCCACTGCGCGCGCGGAAGCCTCGGCGACCGAAGGGCAAACTTAATGAAATACGCTCCCAAGCGATGCCGGCCAGACCGATGATAAACCATGGTACAGAAGCAAGCGTGTCCAGGAAGCTTGAGTTAGAGTATGCAGGTCGGAGATCAGGTCCAGGAAGACGGATCGTGCTGTAAATAAGCAAGTTAGTAATCTTATAAGTAGATGAGCTGAACGGGGAGTAAATGGCAGCGTACCCTCTTGCAAGGCCGCTACGCCGGTAGATCCAATATCCTACCAAGCCAGCTAATGCTATCGGTACGAAAAGGACAAAGACCCAGAAGAAGAATCCGTGTCCTCGAAGGCCGGGACATAGATGTGCGGTCCCTCTGTCTGGGCGTTGGCCACCTTCACAGGAAGAATATGGGATCTTGCGGTATGCTGTGCGTTCGTACCAGTATTCTTCGCCGTATGGACATGAATCATCGTCTGGTAAAGGCGTTGCTCCAGGAACTAGGACACATTCGCCAGCGTCGTTTCTAACGTGGTTGAACTCGCTGTGATACAGGTTAGAACACGAATGTGAACGGTCAGTGGGAGACGTACCATTCGAAGTCGATGTCGCTGCATTGACAGTTCTCGACGAACTTCTCTTCGATCCTTTGCTGTTTGCCGACGTAACAATTCCTGTCACGAATGCGACGATGATACAATGTCTGTCAGAATGTCAGTGTTAGACTTCCGTTATTGTAAGTCTCAAAACCGCTCGACGTACCTGTCGTCCGAAGAGACACCTCTCCTGACGTTGCTCTGCTGGACTCCACCATTCAAAGTCATCTTGGCCCGGATTTTCCGGATCAAGAACGCCTGTAAAGATGTTATTAACGCCATACCATCAGTAGTCATAATTAGATCTTACATTGTTTACGGGTCAGCGACGAGAAATCCAAATGAATAGCAACAGCCGACGATATAGACCGAGGGTAAAACCCGAAAAGTATGAATCGCCGACTCGTATCCTGTGGAACCGTAACAATCGACTTCACACGGACCTTCTCCTGCTCCGAGAACTTGTATTCACGCCAGGTAAGACCCTCGTCCGTACTGAATAAAACATGATCTGTTGGTTCTTCGTCGTTGGCGATGACGAGGATCGAGCCATAGTCTCCGAACTCCCAAAGATGTGCATCTTTGTGTATCTCTTGCCAGGAGAAACCGGCGTCCCGGCTTAGGAAGGTATCGCTGTCACCGTATGGAGCGAGCTTTTCTCCTACGTTGCCGACGGCCATGACTAGGCCTGGGACGGATGGGCTGCTGTAAGTCGCGCGAGTGTCGAAGCGTTCGGTATAACCGTGAATTTGGAGTCCACACTTCTGCAAGACGAATTAAGCGGTCGCCAAAATTGTGATGAAGTAAAAACGTACCGTGGAAGAACAGTCATATGATTGTCCATGAGAATCGACGCTTGGCGGCATCAACGGCTTCCAGGTACCACCTTAAGGTAATCGCATTAAGAAATTCATCCAAAGCAACATGAATTAATTGCGACTAACCGTCATTGTGTGTAATCCTCGACTGAAGCTTCTTCCTCCCCGAAAAGACAGCCTCCTGAGGATTAGACACGACGTTAATAAGCGCAATCCCATCGAGGTTAATCATCTTCTCAAAGTCAACGTAGCCGCGGTCGTTCCGGTTGACATAGTCAGCTGAGACACCGAAATATGTACCATTACCGTTTGACTTCATGATCGCTCCCCAATATGGTGCAGGGAATTCTGAAGTCGTGAGGTGCATGAATACAGCTTTCGTGCTGGATTCGAGAATTGTGTATGCCTGGAGAATAGGTCAGAGACTATGACAGAGATTTCATTGGTCGACGTACATGGTTCTGAGGCCGAAGAGTCGGCGGGAAGACACCAGCTGCGAAGTTCTTTCCGTCTAGAGAGACCTGAAGATCCAGCGCCCTCTGCTCCTCAAGATACTGGATGGAAAGCCATTAAGTATGCGGTAAATTAATAACTAATGTCTGCTTACCTCCGCAACGATAAGGAACTCTGAGAACTTAGCAAAACCAACGACACGGTCGAAGATAACCTGCTTATTCCTGTAGAACTGCGCCCCACCAACAAGTTGCAGAGGGTTAATATCGACGTTGAAGAGCCGTTGATTGCCCTGCTTCTCCTTATAGGACTCGCAAATAATCTGCGAGCTATCAATCTTAAGCTCTTTATCGCGCGCCCACGCGCAATTCCGGACATAGGATTCGATGAAATGCCAGTTCCGACCGTTGTCAGTGGAGAAACGCGCCTCCGAGTGACAATTATTCCCATTTCCTGTACAGTCTACGTCCCCTGTCCAAATGATGTACTCGGAATTGGGATGGAAATGCATGATTACTGCTCCGAAGGTGTTTGGTGGGGATGGTGCGTCTTGAGAATGCCAGTTTTTCCCTGTGTCGGTTGTGTAGTAGAATTTGTTGGATGCTGTGAGGAGATAACCGCGGTCGTGGGAATAAGTGTGGAGGTAGAAGACAACGAATCGTTCGTCGGGGAAGAGTTGGTTCCATGAATAACCTTCGTTGCTCGATTGCCAGATACTACCGTCGTGGAGGCGTACGAGAATGGTCTGTAATAATGTGAGTCGATTTTGTAGCCAAGCATAGATAGCAACTCACAGTTGATTCTTTGAAATAAGCATACTGTGCGATCTCTGATGCAAATTCGAAAGTCTGGTGAGTGACTTCACCTTCCTCCGGTTGTGCTTGAGAGCAATCTTTCTCAACAGGATTATCATTTTTCTTTCCACGGCTCTGGTCGCAAGTATTCCCAGGAATGAGACGGTATCCAGATGATCCCATGTACTTGCCGTTCGGATCATTGCAGGTGCCTGCTGGAATTGGTTCTGGTCCTGCTGGCACGCATTGATCACCGTTGCGAATGAAGTTGTAGTCGCATTCGTAATCCGCATCTGTACAAGGACAGTTGTCTTCGTGCTCAACTGGATCGTCGAACTTGTGTCCGACGTAGCAGTCGGCATCGGGCTTGCGACGGCGGTACCATTGCTTGTGCCTAATGATCATCAACGGTCAGTCCTGGCGTCAGTAGTTGAATCAGTAGAATGTTCCACTTACCCCATGATGCATTCGCTGCTGCTACCACTACGCGCATACCATCTTTCGAAGTCGTTATCACCACATTGACGATTACGCGTCGGCGCGAAATCAAGGTATATGACAACAAAACGACCGTCACCCGTCTGATCTTTTCGGGCTAGCTGTCCGACAAGCATGAACTTCTGAGATGTCGAATCCGGTACGGTTGTTAATGCACGAGCTCGGAACCGATGGTCAAGCGTGAGTGTCGTCCAAGAGCGTCCGAGGTCGCTTGTATAGCGTACTTCATTAACGCCATCTTCATCGTTCACGAGTACCATGATACTACCCTGATCACCAAATTCGTACTTGTGTGCTTCCCGTGATACCATTTTCCAGGTAATTCCGGCATCGGTACTCAGAAAGGTATCACATTCTTCGTATGGTTTCAGGTATGGTCCGACGGAACCCACAGCAAGGACAAGGCCTGGAGCAGGCGAACTGAAAATGCGCCCGAAGTTGTGCGGTGCAGTAACGCTGTGGAGATGTAACGAACATGCATCCTGATCGCTTGGGTTGCATCCGATGGTTGAACCGGATGTATCACGGTCGGGTGGAGTTAAGCGAGTCCAGGTCGAACCATCGTCGAAAGTAATACGACTCTGAAGTTGCTTCGGAACACCTCGTCCTTCCACGTCTTGTGCGTTTGCGACGACATTCGCAATCCCGACACCTTCAACCCCATAGATGTTTTCAAAATCGACGAATCCGAGGTCATTTCGATTTGTGTCGCGCAAACTTTCGACGAAGTAGGTGCCGTTGGAGTTGCTAACGAAGAACGTGCCAATTGTGGCCTGGGCGTGTAACAGGACGTCAACACCAAGAGAATGCGTCGTTCCTTCGACAATCGTGTATGCATTCTCCCGCAATTGTGCGCTTGATTGGTGAGGGAAATGAGCACGCGCCCAAGTTTGCGCATCAACGCTAACGTAGAGCAACATATCACCTGAACCTGCAAGGTCCTTGAGAGCGACCACAGCAAATTTGGAGACGATGGCGAACGCGAGAACACCACGCGCATTCTTGCCAATGCCTAAATCGACGGTTCGTTGATCATTCTTAAAGAAATCCGTGGATGCGAACAACCGTGACGACGAGAGCGAATGAGTACCCGTGCTTGACGTTGTATCGAAAGCAACACAGTATATGAGATCGTGATGTGCGTCGTGTTTGAAGTCCTTTGAGGAGTGGGCAAATTGGCAACGTGATGTTTCCGACAGCAAGAGGTCCGGAGTTGTCGAAAAAGCATCCGTAGTATAGTATGTCTCGTCGTGGCAGATAGAGCCCCAACCAAACGTGGATCTGACACATTTGGTGCCCTGATACAATATATATCCGAAATTACTCGGGTCGGAATGGAAAGATAGTGGGAAGGGCACATATGAAGGCGGTACAGGCATCTCAAATGATTGCCAGGTTTGACCTCGGTTCGAAGTTCGATAGTGTTTCGTGCCCTTCGTCAGTACGAAAGCCTGCTGGAAGTCAGTAGGGTTAGGAGAGAAATTGAGGACAAACGCACATATTGGTTGTCGGAAGGATGCTCGATAACCTGCAATGCTTCGCCTTTGGGGATGTCTGCTTCCTTCCAACTCTTCCCTTCATCTTGCGACACGTAAACTATTCCGTCTATTGAGTCAAAATATATGGAAGCCTAGGAAATAGTTAGACATAGTCCCCATTTATGCGCATAAAGGACGCACCGGTGCGTCGTCGAAGAAAAACAGTCGAGAAGGGAAGTTGCGAAACGTAGTGTAGGTTACTTCTGGTTGACCTTGTGCTTCGACAATATGGACCAAGTTGAATAGAGCTAGCGAGAACAAAAGCACTGCATAGCTTAATCCGGATTTAAAAGCCATGGTGTTTCTCGCTTGTGTATGGAACACGCAGTGAAGGAGTTCCAGTCATTCAGCAGTGCGAATACGACGAGCGTACTCGTTTGTGGCAGTCTCTCTTGACTCTATATAGAGTTCTATTGTTTATTCCTCTGTTCTAGCTAGAGATTTTAAGCCTGAAGATGAGCTGAGATGAGGGTAGAGGAGTAGGGGATAGGACACGTCGCCCGCAGCGCGCACGCGTAAAGTTGACGCGAATGTGGAAATTCCGATTATGTCATACTCATCAACGCCAGTCGCGTACTTTTCGCATCCGGGCCCTGACTCCCACGGCCTAATTAGGGACGACCCTGAATCACATAATGATCTACATCATTATGTGATTCAGGGAAAAGATTTACCTGTGAGATGTGGCCAAAATATACACACATAAAATATATCAAGTTAAATAATAGATGTAAAATATAATAAATATAGTAGACTCCTTCTGAATGTTGTAGTCTGACAATATAGTATTTACAAAACTAAACTACAATACATGGAACAATGTATACATTTAAAGTATGATAGAAGAGAGTATAATGGAGACATTTTGCACACCTATAGGATTCAGTACAACATTGTAGGTATTGTTTGTAGGGCTTGGAAGAAGTGTTAGCAGGGCTTGTGTAATGGTTCTGTGTATCTGTTGTAAAGTACCTAACAAAAGAGTATTGTGACTCATAAGAGGATTTGATACACTATTGTAAGTAAAGTTTGTAGGAATTGGAATACACATTGACAAGGTTTGCACTTGTACTTGTAATAGTGGTTAGAGTATGTACATTCTGTAAAATTGTTAACAATAAGGTATAATATTCAAGGGAGGAGCATGTACAAAGTTGTTTAGTAGGCTAGAAGTAGAGGATTTGGTAAAAGTATTAATAAACTGTTAGTAAGGTTGGATTGTAGTCTGAGTCAGTATAGTTTATTTGCAAATAAAGTGAGAATAAATTGGAGACATACTTAAGTATTCTGTTGTTACTAAGGACTAGAATACATAGTTAGGAAAGAGTACATAGTCTGTACCTGTTGTCAGTAACAGTGTAGAGGGGACTCAAAGGCTCAGCAAGGGGACCCAGGCTACAACTATCCTACACAACAGAAATACAGAATGCAAGCACTAGAATGTAGTTGGAACTTGCAGAATGGGCAGAGAGAGAGAGTGAGACAAGAGTAGAGTATATAGAGTGAGCCTAAGAGTACAGGACTATCTAGAGTAGACAAGATCAAGACTACAGGACCAGTCTGATCTTGTACACCTATATATACTAAACTACACAAGAGCACTCAGGGAGTATGAGCCACTAAGAATGATGAGCCACAAAGAATGAAAGAAAGGAATGTTAAAGATAAAGGTACAAAGAATGAAGGGATAGATAAAGGGTAAGAGACTATAGAATGATACAAAGAATGAAAGGGTGGTCAAAGGAATGGAATGATGAAGTAAGGAAGGGTAGTAGCAAGAGTCAGCACACATATAGTTCATAGACAGTGCCCCTGAGGGACAGAAGTCCTGAGTTCTGGTACAGAAGGGTGCAGAACCCTTAGAACTAAAGGTATGAGAGTAGAGAACTGTAACATCACCCCCCCTCTAAAACCAATTGTCCTGATTGGTGAGCATTAGGCTTGGTCAGCAGCTTAGGCATAAGTCAGAACAGTAGGGTTTAGAAATCTGTGAGGTAGAGTTGACACAGAGCACTCAGATGAAGTTGATAGAAGTCTCAGATTACTTTAACAGTATGGGTGAGATTCTCAGCAGGTTCCTAAGTGTGTTCTTCAACTGGGTATCCCTTCCAGTGAATAAGAAACTTGAGCTTTCTGTGCACCAGCTTGGTATCTGCTACATATTCTACTTTGTATTCTAGTTCAGAACCAATGAGTTCTGGTAGAGGTAGTAAGGGTCTTTGTTGTGAAGGAAAACCTAGATTGTAGTATTAAGACAGTAGAACCTTGTTAAACACTGGGTGTATGTGCTTCCATGTTGCCAGAAGTTGGAGTTTGTAGGCAGAGGCACCAACCTTCTTTTCAATAACAAAGGGTCTGAAGCACTTGTTGTCCAACTTCTTCATTAGGCAATCTATGGTCAGGTTAGTAGCTTCTAGTATAACTTTGTTACTAGGCTGGTAATCCTTGGCCACAGACCTCTTCCAATCATAGTTCTGCTTTATAACCTATGCTACCTTTTCTAAAAGAGCTTGTGCATCCTCTCTGGTTCTGTGTATCTGTTCTACAAAGTCTGTTGTGGATTCAGAACTACTGTTCTGGTTCAGAACTGTCCCCTAGTACAGATGTCTCTTATGATTGAGGAAGAACAGGGACTGTCCTGTTGTGGAGTGTTGCTGGTTATTGTGTACAAATTCTGTCAGAGTTAACCATTCAGACCAATCTGATTACTAATGATTGATGAACATCCAGAGGTAGAGCTCAATCTCCTGATTGACTTGCTCAGTTTGACTGTCAGTCTGTAGGTGATAGACAGTAGAAGGGTTCCCTTGAATTTCAAGAAGTGTATACAAGTCTTGTATGAATTTTGACTCAAATTGTGGTCTACAATCATGAATGAGCTTCTGAGGGAGTCTGTACAACTAGAAGACATGATCCTGATAAATGTGTACTATGCCTTTGGAAGTGAGTTCTGTTTGGGTTGGAACTGTGTGGACTTGCTTAGAGAATCAGTCAACAATCACACAGATAGTGTTGTAACCCTAAGACTCAGGTAGCTTACTAATCAGGTCTACTGAGACTTCTTCCTAAGAGTGATCCAGGATCTGATACAGATGTAGAGGAGCCCAAACCCTTGTCTGGTGAGCCTTAGTCTGTTAGCATGTATTGTAACCAGTCACATACTTCAGGATTTCCCTCTACATTCTGGGCCACTAGTAGTTCTGAGTGATGAGTTCCTGTGTTTTGTGTTAGCCTGGATGTCCTACAGTCAGATTGTTGTGATGAGCCCAGACAATGTCCTCCTACAGTTTCTGATCCTTCAGAACATACAGTCAGCCTTCCTAGTAAACCTGTCCATCCTTATCCTCCTCCTAATCCCTAGCCTGTTTCTCTAGTTGCTTCACTATAACCTAGTCCTACATGTGTCTTAGAGCTTACTGTATGTAGGTGACAAAGTCAACATCCTTGGATTTGAGTCAGATCTCTTGGATTGTCTCAGACACAAAACAGGAATTGTCTAGGAGAACAAGATTTTTGTTATCATTCTCCCCCCTTTCATAACCTGCTTGTCTCAAGAGTAAATCAGCTTTTGTCATTTGTGTTCCAGGTTTGTGGGTCAGTACAAAGTCAAAGTCCTACAGTTCTAACATCCAGCAGGCTTAGTGGTAGTTGAGCTTCTGAGGTGTCTAGAAGTACTAGAGATTAAGGTGATCACTCTAAATCTCAAACTTCTGTACAGTACTGAGGAGATATTAATGCTACTCCTCTAAGGAACAGACAATTGTAAGGAGTTCCTTGTCATAGATAGGGTAGTTCTGTTCTGTTACAGAGAGGGATTCTGATTGGAACACTATTGGACACTACTTTCTGTCAATGAACTAGGACAGTACTGCTCCATTTGCAAAGTCAGAAGAGTCAGCTTTGACTCAGAACTTGTCTACAACTGTCAGAACTACTAATACAGGCTTGCTAGTGATGGCCTGCTTGAGGGACTCAAACACAGACTGTTACTGATCATTCTATTGCCAAGGAACATCCTTGCTAGTGAGATTGTGAAGGGGCTGAGCAATAGTACTGAAGCCTTGAATAAAGTATTAGTAGTAGTTTGTAAACCTAAGGAATGCTTGGACCTGTTTCAGGTTCTAAGGTTGTAGCCAGTTCCAAACTGTAGTCACCTTTGCCAGATCCATACAGACCTCTCCTCCACTAATCACAAAGCCTAGATAATCTACTGACTCCTGTGCAAAAGAGTACTTTGCTTCTCAGAGGAACAGTTTATTATCTTAGAGCCATTATAGAACTGCTCAGATCAGTCAGTAATAGTGCTCAACTGTCTGGGTGAAGATCAGAATGTTGTCCAGATACACACTAATGTGCTCTGAGTCAATCAGATCTGTAAGGATGTGATTCATGAATGACTAGAATGTTGCAGGCAAGTTGGTTAGTCTGAAGAACATTACAGTCAGTTTGTACAATCTACAATTGGTTCAGAATGCAGTCTTCCACTCATCTCTGTCTCAGATCCAAATATTATTGTATCCCTATCAAATGTCCAACTTAGTGAAAACCCTAGATGTATGTGTCTTATCAATGAGCTCCTGAATCAGAGGGAGCAGGTACTTGTTTTTGACAGTACCCTTATTAAGACAATAATAATCCTAGACTGGGTAGAGCTTCCCATCTTTCTTTTTGACAAAGAAGAAAGGGGAGGCTATAGAGGACTTTAAGGGTTGGATCCAGCCATTCTGAAGATTTTCCCAAAGGAACTTGTTGAGCACCTCCTGCTTGTCTCTGTTGAGTAGGTAGACCTTACAATCCTTAGGTTAGAAACCCTTAGTCAATTCAATTACATAGTCTTAGGGACAGTGTTCAGGAAGCTGGTCAAATTCCTTTTCACTAAAGACTTTGGAGAACTCTCAGACAAAATCTGGCAGACTGAGTCTGTGTGTATTCTAGAGTAGAGTTGTTCTAAGAGGGTTCCAGACTGGTTCTGTCTCAGACATCCTTTGGATTGACTCTATTCTGCCTTGACTAGAATATGTATCCACATATCTATCCTAGTCAAAGAAGAACAACTAGTCACCTTCATCAGAACTGTCAGTAACATTGGAAGCATCTGTATCTACTTAGAACAGTAGTACAAGGTAGTTGTAAGACTCAGGACACTGATTGAACACAAGTGTCTACTCTAACCAGTCAATAGTAGGGTTGTGAGCCTTGAGCCATTCAAATCTAATGAAGACATCTGTCTTTCTAAGGTTAGTAACTCTGAACTCAATACTTTCCTCATAATCCTGAATGGTCATCTGTAGTTGGAC